GGCCCCCCCCCCCGCCGCTGCGGCGGGCGCAGGACTTGGTCGACGCGCGACAGCTCGGGGAAGGCGTGGGGAGGGAGGCGCGAGGAACACGGTCTACGGCGGTTCGGGCAGTTCGGGCGGACTGGCGACGCCGCCTGCGGCTGAGAGGCAGGACAGCACGATTTCAGAGGACGACGTCCCGCTCGCGACGGTGGTCCAGCAGAAGCACCGCCGCGAGGCTCCTCCCCCACCCGTCAACCGTGCTGCAGCTCACACGCCGAACGACTCCTCTGCAACGCTCTTACCGTCTCTCCCGACGAGCCCGGCATCATCCGGCTTCATCCCGCCCTCGCCTGCACCTGTTGCCGGTCGCGCCATGTCAGTCATGTCCGGCACGTCGTCAATGGGTCCAGCAGCAGCGCACGGCCGCCCCGACCCCTTCGCTGGCGTCACGAGTCCCGGCTTGCGCGCAAGCATCGTCGAGACGGTCAACGTCCTCCTCAAGAATGGCGAGGTCACCCGCGTGCTCGTCACAGGCGAAGTCGGCTTGTCGTACCGCCCGTCTTCGTCGTTGCCCGGTGGACAGCTCAAGCTCCGCCTCACCGGACTCGATGGACTGGAGAAGACCGCGCCAAACCCTTCCCTTCTCTCGACCGCGGGCGCAGGCGAATTCGCCGTGTCGCCCTCGCTCGCAGCGCACAACGGCACGACCGTCACCGCGTTCAAGTATCAGGTCTCGCTTTCACCGACTTCCTCGTCGGCGCTTGTCCCCCTTCATGTCAAGCCAACTTGGCGGTGCGAGCCTGGTCTCGCTCGAGCGATCGTCACCTACTCCGCCAACGCTTCGTCCACCCTCTTCTCTGCCTCTTCGTCGTCTTCGCCCTTCGGAGAAGACGACAACTCGACTACGAGCGCGCGCCTCGAGGACGTCAAGCTCGACCTCGTCCTCGCCTCCGGCTCCGCAACCTCGTTCCAGGCCAAGCCGCCCTCCGGCACGCTCACCAACTCGAACCGGACGCTTTCGTTCTCGCTCGGATCGGTCGACGCCGCGAACGGCGGCGAGCAGAAGATCCTCGCGTCGATTCAGACGGAGGGCGCGGCCGCGGCTCAACCTGGGCCTATCAGCGTCAGCTGGGTCGTCCGAGGTCGGACTGTCGGTAACGTCGGCGTCGAGGTCGTCGAGGGAGGAGAGGCGATCGAGGAGGTCCGGAGGGAGACGGTGAGCGGGAAGTACTTGGCGGCGTGAGGGAGCGTCTCGCTCATTCTCCTCAAGATACCCTTATCTCTTTGACAACTGAAATATGTGCATCTCTCATGGTCCTCTCGCGGTCCTGGAAGGAAGGCGGTTTGCTCGAGTTCTTCGGAGAAGGCTGAGCGAAATTGCACGAGTCCCTTCGCTCGCTGCGGGAGGGCACAGGTCGCAGTCTTTCAGTTGCTGTCGCACTATTCGACTACGAAACGTTCCGCCGTGAGCACGAGGCCCACGTCGCTCGCTCTCCTCGACCTTCCTCTCCTCCCTTCGTTCTACTCACACTCCGCTCCTCTGCTTGCTTCGGTTGCTAAGTCTAGCTTTGTCGACGGATCACCCAGCTGGCGTACTCGGCTCCCGCTCAGCCTCTCCGTCCCAACTCCACTGTCTTCCTTCCTCCAACCGCCCAACCTTGTCGACTCGCTTGCAAGCTGCGCCGGGTCGCGCGAACAGGTCGCGGGCTGCTTGAAAGACAATTGGGACGCTGCGACACCCGTAGCTGAGCCTGGCGGCCTCCTGCTGGCTTCAGCGCACCTTGGGACCTGCCAAACTGATGAGGGCAAACGGTTCGGCACGGCGGTGTCATGGAGTGTTGTCGGCGGCGTCCAGGCGATTAAAGGAGCTCGTTGAACCAGATGAAACTGCGGCAGATCCAGACGAAGGGCAATGTGTGGATGTCGAGGGGCTCAGGCTGGAGTGGGCAGCGGTCGGCCGCTTGATCACGCTTCCTCTGCTTCCTGCTTCTCCTCCTTCGAGCTGGCACAAACAGGTATGCTACCGAGGCGCGCGTCGCACAGAGAAGTCAAGACCCGCCTGGCTTGGAGTGAGCACTGATCCTCGTCCCGCGTCTTCCGCTCGTTGCGGTCCCGACCTGGCTTCTCGTTGACCCGCCTTTCGCTACAGTGACCGCTATGGCTGAAGTGACCAAGCTACCAGGTGTCGCCGAGGAAAGTGCTTCGGGTGCGCCTTTCTCCCGTGTCCTCCGATGTCACCCCACCCCGACCTTCGTGGCTACCTCGCCGTCTTCCTCATCAGCAGATGCCTCCGCGCCTTCGACCCTTCTTCTGGAGCAGCAACAGCGCGCCGCTCAAGTCAAGAAGCTGTTCCGCCAAGCGAGGGATGGCATGCTCTCGCTGGACGACCTCGAGGAACACATCTCCGCGCTTCTTGAACAAGTGGACAAGCGGGAAATGGAGCTCGTCGAGGAGAACGTATCTCTCGCATCGAAAGTCTCCTCAAACCAGGGCCTGCTGGATGAGTTGGAGAAGGCTTTGACGAAGAGGAGGAGACAGTTGGTCCTTCTCCACCCACCCTCTCAAGCGCATCGCTGAGGGGTTTCGTCGTACTCCTCAGGATGTCTTCCCTGACCTGAACGCCTGAACAGCTCATATATAGATGTAAACAGGTGAGCCGAACTCTCTCTCTTCTCCTTCTCCTCTCCCGCTCACCTCTCGCTCCTCCTCCTCAAACCGCAGACTGCCGTTCCACCCGAGCATCCAGAAGTCCCCTTGCAAACGCTCTTCAGTCGGCGCTCTAGCTTGCCGCTGTGCGGCCTCGTCTCGTGCCCGACATCCTCATCACCCGCTCAGGCCGCTCGGAACTCTCGGCAAGACGCATCGCAGGTGAAGCAGACGGTGAGAGCCGTTGTCTGAGGTCGTGTACGTTCGACGAGCAGGGAGAACCGGTGCGTCCCAGTGCTCTGTGTGTGCGGGGAGGCAGAGAGGACGCTGGGGTGCAGTCTTCTCGAAGGGGACGACTCGGCCATCTGGAGCTGGAGGCGGGTGCAACGCAGCAGATGCTGGCAGCGAATATACGCAACAGAAGCTGACAAGCGTTTGTCCGCAAGCAGGTCTTTCGCCCGCCCAACCTGCAACATGCCTCTCGACACAACCAAATTCTCGACCATGACGCCTCTCCCGGTTTTTCCAGTCTCCGACGACTACCTCAGCAAGCACGCCTCCCCTCCGCCAGCCGTCCTTTTCCCCTCATCTCCCGCACCGCCAGACGAGCCAACCTTCATTCCCTTCCCGACTCGCTCAAAATCTCCGCCCGCGCGTTCCTCCCGTCTTTCAGTCGCGTCAAACTCCTCGACCAAGCGAGACTCGACTCTGATCTCCGGCCCTCGCCCTCCGTTCCTTCGCCAACGGCAGACTTCGCTGCCAGCTAGTCTCGTCGCCTCGCGGCACTACTCCTTTGCTGGCAACTTGGCATCAGGCGCCAACAGGTTCAGCGTCGCGAGCTTCTCGAGCTGCGAGAGTGTGGCGGAGGAGGAAGATATGGGCGAGCGGACGAACGGCGGTCAGGCAGGAAAAGCGGTCGCGACCGGGCAATCCGCCTCATCGCCCGCCTCTCGAAGATCGTCGATATCTTCGAAGAGATACTCCGTCTCGCCTCTGGAGGGCCAGTACCAGTCTTTCGCATCGGCGTCTGTCTCTGCGGAAGCGCTGGGCCAGCCGAACAAATCGTCCGTCTCCAAGGACACCAACGCTGCGCCCGTTGTAGCGAAGCGGAATGAGCGACGGTGGAGAATTGCGGAGGAGCTGCGGGATACGGAGAAGGGCTACGTTGCCGTGCTTGAAGAAGTCGACGAGGTGAGCCTCTCTCGGACTCAATTCTGGCGACAACTGACTGAATTGCCCTTGCAGCTCTACTACCAACCGCTTCTCTCCGCTCTCCCAATTGACGACCCGCTCTCGCGACGAAGCTCGAAGCGGTACTCGGCGATGTCGGCCGGCTCAACACCGTCTCATTCGCCTCGACAGTCGATCGACTTCCATTCCCCGTCCCCCGCACAACCTCCTTCTCGCACAAGGACTTCCACAGCCAACTCCCTCCCTCTCGATGATAAGACAAGCTCGTCCGCCTCGCCGCCGCAGTCCATCCTCAGCCGACGCGAAATCAACGAGATCTTCTCGAACTTCGCCGACGTCCTTAACCTCTCGCGCTTCATGCTTGCCACGCTCGAGGAAGCGATCCCTCCTCGACCATCCCAACCTGTCCCTCTCGTTCCAGCGCGCGAGTCGACGACGACCTCGTCAACCACGTCCCGCTCGGCGCCGGATCAAACGACTACTGCGTCACTATCGACAAGCGTCGGGTCGGAAGCGTCATCGCCGGGCGAAGGAGCTCTCGGTAATCAACCTCGACAGCGAACGCTGTCAACCCGGAGCGACGTCCCTCGCCGCCGCCGACAACCCGCTCCCCCTCTCGCACTTGGCAAAGCCCTTCTCCCCGTTCTTCCATTCCTCAAGCAGTACTCGCTCTTCTGCGCCAACTACGGTTCCGCCCTCTCACGCCTCGCACGCCTCGAACAGTCGACGATCTGGCGGGAATTTGTCGCGAAGCAGGAAAAGCTGCAGGCGGGCAAGATCGGGTTAGCAGGGCTGCTGCTCGGTATCGTACAGCGAGTGCCGCGGTATCGACTGCTGCTGCAAGAGCTGGTCGAATACACGGACGACGACCACCCGGACGCAACTGATCTCGAGGCTGCGTTCGCTTTGGTCGACCAAGGTGAGCTTCTAACTCACTCGCTCGCTTGAAGTCGTTCTTACGCCAATAGCTGACCGTATCATACAGTCGCCACTCACCTTGACGCGCAGATTGCCTCTCACACCCATTCCCTCGAACTTCTCGACCTCCAGCGCTCCTTCCACACCCTCCCCTTCACCCTCATCGAGCCGGGCAGACGCCTGCTCAAATCTGGCCTGGTCATCAAGATCGCCAACTCGGGCAAGGAGGAGAAGCGACGTTTCTTCCTCTTCTCCGACATCTTGATCGAGGCGACGCAGGAAGACGACTGGTCCGCCTTTGCGAGCGCGTCTGGCTCCACGTTCACCTTCCGACATCGGTTCGAGCTGGACGATGTGACGGTCGTCGCTAACGACGAGACTAGCGTGGACGGAGTGACGAAGTACGGCATCGAGGTGCTATCGTCTCAGCAGTCCTTTCTCGCCTTCGCCGGTGCGTCCGTATCTCTTCGCTCGTCCCGGACATCTCTTCGCTCCTGACGAGCTGTCTGATTCTGCAGAGTCCGGCAGCGAACGAGATCTCTGGCTGGAAAGTCTCCGAGGCGCCAAAGCGCAGCTCATGAGCGACCGGACGACCCTCCAACGCACGAACAGCCTCAACAGGGCTCCTTCCAGACGTGCAGATCCTCGCAGTGACCGCCGCATCTCGCTACCGCCGGCAGCCTCGCCGACTCCGTTCGCTCTTAACCCGTCTTCCCTCTCTCACCTCGTCGTACCTGCGCGCCAAATCTCGCTTCCGCCCGCACTCGGCTACATTCCTCCGACGCCGAACGAGGAACTCGACAAGCAGCTCGCGGTGGACGAACAGCAGATCTCGCATTCTCCCCTTTCTTCGCCAACTCTCCCGCCTGCACCGGCATATCCATCGTTCCCGCGACAGTCGTCGGCGCCAGCTTTCGGATCTTCTGCGCTGGCCACTTCCACCACGCCGTCGGCGTCACCGCAAGCTCCTGGGAGACCTTCCCTCAGTCGTGCTCGTCGTTGGTCAGAAGCGCCGTCCATCGCCTTGCAAGCACTTTCCTCCGCCCTCGCGCTCGACCCGCTAGCCGACGCTGACGGCATCGAGTATCCCGTCGTTGACGAATACCGCGCGCCTGTCTGGGTCCCGGACTCAAAGGCTTCACGCTGTATGAACTGCCGGACGCCTTTCGGTCTGTGGCGGCGCAAGCATCACTGCCGTCTCTGCGGCAACATCGTGTGCTTTGCATGCTCGAACAAGGTGCGCACTACTTTCGCTCGTCCCGCTCAGCACTTTAAGCGGTCTGGGAAGGCCATTCCTGACTTCGCTTGTTGGCAGTACTTCCTCATTCCCGCAACGCTACTCTCTGGCTCGTCCGGCGCACCTGACAGTCTCGCTGAGCCGGACCGCCTCGCCCGCTCCTGCGATACGTGCTACGACTCCCTCTTCCTCCCTTCTTCTCCCTCCGCCTCGACCCTTTCACGCTCCTCTCGCCTTCTCGCCTCTCGCCCTGCGCCCGCCGACCCCGAGATTGCCAAGCTTCCGCCTACGATCCGAGTGCGCAGCGAGACGGGCAGAGGGCGGGTGCTCGGTGCTTGGGACGCGGCAGGCGGCGGCGGCGGAACCTGGAAGGGGACGTGGTCGAAGAGACGGGTCGGTGAGGTCGATTGGGCAGCTTTGAGGGACACGGACGGAGCGGGAAGTGAGCCGGTACAGGTGCCAGCGAGGAAGAGCAGGGCGAGAAGGGAGAGCGTGGTGGACAAGTTGCGCGGGCTGCTCGCTCGAGGCGGTGTGGAGGCGACATAGAACAGTGCGTGGCAACCACAGCGTGCATTTTAGAAAACGACCGGAAGAGGAATTGGCCAACGGAGAGTCTGTGCGGGCGCGGGAGGAAGGGAGGTACTTTGGACTCGAGCGAGAGCGTCAACACCGCAACTCCTGCGAAGCGTTTGCGAATGCGATAGTTGCGACAGCATAGAAGAGAGAGAAGCGAGAGTATGCAAAAGAGCGGGAAGAGCTACAGACGCCTCAGCTGCGAGGAAGAGGCGGAGTGCCAGGAGAAGTCCCGCTCTGCGCGCCGTTCCCGTTCGAGTGACCGTTCGTCTGCGGTAGCGCGAAGGGCATGTCGACGTCGGCGGGCGTCAAAGCGGGTTTGGGCGTGCCGGAGGCTTCAGGTCGTTTGGGCGTTTGCGAGCTTGAGGAGGACGAGGGCGGCCGCGCCGAGCTCGACTTGCGGCGCTCGAGGAGCTTCTTGACCCAGTCCTTGACAAACGACTTGACCTTGGACTCCTTCTCCGGCGCGAGCGAGTCGTACGCTTCAGACTCATACGAGGGGCGCTTCTTCTCCTTCTCGATGAGGATCTCGGTGACCTGCCGAAATCGCAAGAACCGGTTAGTTCGAGCACAGCAACAGTCATGGACAGCCCACGCACCTCGCGCGCACGCTTCTTGAACGTCTCCGAGTCGAAATGCGCCTTGTACTTGCTCATCGTGGCGACGACGACGTTCGAGAAGAGGCCCATGACGCGCTTGTCCTTCTGCTGCCTGACCTTCTCCTCCTTCTCCCTCTTGCGCTGCTCCTCCTTCTCGCGCGCTGCCGCCTCCCGCGCAGCCTTCTCCTCCGCAACTCGCCGTTCCTCCGCCTCCTTCGCCTCCTGCGCCGCACGCTCAGCCTGCGCAATCAGCTCGTTCGCATCGAGCGGTGCGGCATAGCGCGGAGCGACGGCGTGAGATCGTGCAGGCTGATACGGGATCTCGCGCTGCATCTCGCCCGTGTGAACGTTGCGGAAGACGTAGGCGTCGAGCTGGCGCTCCCACTGCGGTTCCCATCCCTCGGGCAACTTGCCCTTGTACGGTGGCGGACGAGCGAGGCTGAGATTATTGTTGGCGGTCGGCATGACGAAGCGTGGCCGCTCATCCTCCGCCTTGCTCGCCTCGTGCTCGATCCGCGCACGCTTGGCGATCTGCTCAAGGTCGAACGTCGACGAGCGCTTGCGTTCGGGGTCTTCGATGCCGTCCTGCGCATCAACCAATATCAGCGATCGGGCAGGAAGCGAAGCGGGAGACACAACGCGACGCACAGTCATCGCCTTCGGGATCCGATACCCGAGCTGCAAGTCTCCCCAAGCCGTGAGCAAGTCGCCCGCAAGCGTCTTGACCTTGTCGTCCTCGACTGCGAGACACTTCTGGACGTTCTCCTCGATCTTGGACGACTCGATCTTGTTGCGAGTTTGCAGCTTCCAGCGCGAGAGGATCTCGAGGTCCTGTCTCGACCGAGCGCAGCGTCAGCTTGGAGCTCCGGAAAAGGGTTGGAGCGCGCACGTACGAGCGTGATGACGTGAATGTCGGAAGGGTACTCGCGCAAGACATTGTTCATCAAGTTGAGACCGTGCAAGCGCATCAAGTTCCGCTGCACCTCGTCGTCCGTCGTCATCTGCGCACGCAGTCATCGTCAGCGTGCCCTCGCGTTACTGAGCATAGCCGGAACGCACCGCAACACGTTGTAGGAGCTTCTCGAGAATCCGCCTCGTCTGGAGCGCTTGACGAATCGCAGCCGAGACCTTCGGGACCTCCTCGAGCTGGACAGGATGCAGTGTGGGCTGCGGATGGCGAAGGGTGAGTGGAAGTCGCAGCGTTGTAGAACGAAAGGAGGAGCGCACCGTAAAGTCCTCGTCCAGCTTCTTGCCCTTCTTCTTCTTTGACCCCTTGAGACCGAGCGCCTCGACTTCCTCCGTGATACCGAGAGCTGCTCACAACCTTGTCAGCTACCTCGAAAATCGAAGGCGCGAGGGAGAGGAGCGCACCGTCGATGTAGAGATCGTCCATTCCGCCGAGGTCGGTCTGCGTCTTGCCACCGATGTAGCCGACGCAGTTCGGTTCGCCGCAGTAGCATTCTTGCGCGACGTGTCTGTGCATCAAGGGCTCCACTCTCGATCAGCTCGCAGCCCGAACGACCGGCTCGCCGACGAGCGGACGGACGCACCCATAGCGATCAACGTTGTAGTTGAACGTCAGCTCCTCGTGCATCTTGATATCGCGCTTCGTGAAGATCCCCATGCGCATCTTACGACCGACAGTCCATTTGGCGACGACGCAATTGGGGTTGCAAGAGTGGTTGAGGAAGCGACCCTTTCCGCCTTTCTTCGTCGCGTCGATGAACTGCGCCGCACTCGCTCGTTAGCTTAGTTTGAGGGTGGATGAGGAGGGAGGAGACGCACGACGTCGCGGTCGAGAGCCATAAAGTAGAAGTGCTTGATGCCCTCGTTCGCGTACTCTTTCATCTTGCGCTGGAAAGGCTGGGGACCGATGACCTCGCCGACGTACTCGTAGACGAACGTGTCTCTGCGAAGCACGGCCCGTCAGCCTGGTGCAGGTGGAGAGGGGAGAAAGGCGACGCACGCTGAGATGTCTGCTCCAGCCCGCACTCCGAACCCCTTCTTCTCCGTCTGCACAATCTCGATCGGCGCGTACTGCCTCTTCTGGAACCTGTCGCGCACGTTTGGCCATCAGTCCTGCTCCGGAATCGAGTTGAGGGAAACGGACGAACCGCTGGTTCTGACAATGCCGCCCACACCGACAGTCGCCCATCAAGCACTCGATTTGCATCATCCTGTTGACGCAATTCGAGTGTTCTCCGCACGCTTCGTCCGCATCCGGTTCGCCTGGTCTCCGTTCGCAAAGTCAGCTCAGCTCAAGTGAGCGCGGGACTCGACGCACGAGTCGAGGTGTTCCAGCTGCAATCGCAGCGCGAAGCGTCGGGATCGTAGTACGGCACGTCTCCGAGCGCCTTGCTGTAGTACGTGCACCCCTCGAGCTCGGTATACGTCTTGGCCGCCTGCGTACCCACAAAAGCAGTCAGTTTCGCCATCGCGACCGTGTCGGAGCAAGCGAAAGACGCACATCTTCCTCCGCCAGCGGCAAGTGCCCAATCAGCTGCGGCTCGACTTCAACCTTCTTCTTCTTGCCCTTTCCCCGTCCCCGTCCCGGCTTGACCACCTCCTCCTCCTCCTCATCGCCTTCCCCGCTCCCGCTCCCACTGCGCGCAGGCGTCGACCCTCCCGACCCAGACGCAGCCGGCGAGAAAGCCTGTTTCCGATCAATCTCGTCGACAGAAGCCGAGGTGCTCGCAAAAGGATAGGGCGGGGGGAGAGACGGTTTCCGGTCGCCGTTCGCCGAGGGAGTCGACCCTTCGCGCTTGTGAGGTGATGGAGAGCGAGTTGAAGCTGAGGCTGAGGCGGTCAACATGCTTGAGAGCGAGGGCTTGCGGTCGAGGTTGGCGAGCGGGGCGTTCGGGGCGGAGGCGGCGAAAATGGTCAAGTCGTCGATAGGCTCCGCTTCGGCTTTCACGGCGCTCGAAGAGGGGAATGGAGGTGCTGGAGCGTCTGCTGTGGGTGTCGGAAGCGCGCTGCGTGGGTGGCGGCAAGTCATCAGGTCGGCTGCTCCGAGACGGGGGTCAACAGGTCAGCGAGCAGGACTCACGGGACAGACTCCGACTTAACACCGTCCAGCTCTTGCATGTCGGCGTCTGTACGGTAGTCGAAGCAAGCCGCGCGAGCAGTGAGCGAATCAGCACATGTGCGATGTCGAGCGAGACGAGAGCGCAATCCTGAAGCGAGACGACAAACGCACCAGGGAGCGAACCGACAGGCTCGGCATGTAGCTTGCCATTCGCAGAGCCATACTCGCGCGCGTTTGCCTGGCCGGACAGCGTTTCCCCTGCCTGCTGCATCGGTGCGTCCATGTCGACCGGCATTCCCTCCTTCATAACTGCACCCGGTGTAGCGCTGCGAGCGCCTGGAGACTGTGGAGTCGGATAGTAGGGAGACACGGGGGCAGGCGAGACCATCAGAGCGCTGCGAGGGCGAGTTGGTCGCTGTGTGTCGGGATGTGAGTGGGTGAGGAGGAGAAGCGGGTCCGATCGAGGCGGTTTGAAGGGAGCGCACGGTGTTTGGCGTGTTGGAGTAGCCTGTACACGCACTGTCCACGCTGTCCCGCCCCTTGTCAGCCCACTTTGCGGTCGACGGCGAGTCTATGCGTCGCTTGCACAGCTCGAGCAAGTCCTCGACCTGAACAACTCGCTCTCCCACGCTCACAATGGCTGATTCGGCTGCGAGGAAGAGGCAGAAGGGCTTGCAGGGCCAGGCTATCGAGGTACAGCTTGCCGCCAACCCCGCCAACGCTCCTCAACCCGCTCTCGGTGCGCGCTCCTTTTCCTCGCTCAAACCGGCCACACCTCGCTGACACGCCTCTCGTGGGAATGCAGCTCTGTTCCCCTCGGCCCAACCACCCTCAAAGACGCCGTACACGCTCTACACAAAGTCGGGAGAGGTCACGGGAGGCGACGGCAGGAAGCGCCAGCAGGCGGTCCTCGCGGCCGAGACGGACGACGTCGAGTTTGAGAGTCGGAACCAGCTTGGAGTGGACGAGCATGGCGAGGGAGAGGGATACTCAGTCCAGTGAGTTCAGGCAGGAGTGTTGTGGGCGTGAACGGACCGAATTGACCTCGTCCTTTGCTTTCGCAGGTACATGCTCGGCGTCCGCAACCCCCGCACCAACATCCTGACCCTTCACGCCGCACCCCTGCACACCTTCACCCCGACCGTCAAATCGCTCAAGTCCGCTCCCGCCTCGCAATCCGCCGCACAGCTCATCGCCGCTCAACGCGCCGCGCTCGGCTCGACGTTCGGTACGAAGAAGGCTATCAAGCAGTTGCGCGCACAGGAGCGTAACAAGTTGAACGAGACGTCGTTCGGCGTCGGATCGGAAGTCGCGGGATTGAAGGATCACCTGACGTTGTCGATTCAGGCGGCGGCGGGCAACCTCCCTTCGATGCAGACCATCGAGGACGAGGCGAATGAGAAGCGACCCATCCCGCCGTACAACAAGGACGCCAAGTCGCCTGGCGAAGTGTACGACATGGACGCTGTCGTCTCCCAAGCCGAACTCAACGCCGTCCCCCTCGGAGACTTGATCTCTGCGCCCGACTTCAAGGCTCGGCGTGACATGTTGCCCTACCGCCGCTCGGATTTCATCTCGACAAAGATGCGCCAACTCCTCCCTTCTCGCGCATCGGCAGAGGGAAACGTCCCGAACCCCTCGAAGCGCGACCGCGGACGCCTCCGCCTCGTCGTGCACCTCTCGCACCTCTTCCAGTTCCGCAATACGGCTCGACCAGGCCAACTTATCGACCGGACGAAACTGGTCGAGAGGCTGGGTAATCCGTCGAATGCGGTTGTGGATGCGTTGCTTGAGCGGTACACGGAGAAGGTGAAGGGCGGAGCGGGAGGAGAGGACGCGAGGAAGGTCACGACGACGATGGAGCTTAAGCTCTTGACGTACATGCTTGTCGTGGCGCTCAGACTTGACGGATGGAGTACCGACGTCGACACCATGGCCAACGATCTCGGAATGGGCACGAAGCGGCGAGTCCCCTGCCTCCTCTCCTCTTCATCCTTCCCTTACAAGGGGCGCTGACGCGGACCACTCGCTCACAGCGTCGGCGAACTCTTCCGCTCCCTCGGCTGCCAACTGATCGCCCCGTCCGCCGCCGACCGCGAGAAACTCGTCGCGACAGGCCGCGCATCGAGTGCTGCCGAAGCCGCGAAGAGCAAGAAGGCGACGCTCAAGGTTCCGCTGCAGTTCCCGAAGGAGAGGAAGGGGCAGCCCAAGCGATGAGAGCGCGAGGAGCGGGGTGGAGAGGCACAGAGCGGCGAGATGGTATGCGATGTACGCTTGTAACGCTGGCGTTTCAACCGAACTACAGTGCGAGAGAAGGGCGCCCAGCTCGAGGCTGACTTGAGCCTGCCTCTCTCTCGCCGAATCGGTCTCGCGGACTGCCTCGCTCCTCTCTTCCGCTTTACCCGCAGTCGCGGGCTGCTGGATACGCACACAATGCAAGAAGTCCACTCAACCAAATCTAACAGCTACAGATCCCAGGACAATCGACAGAGACTAGGGGGGGAGGATGGGCGAGATGGCTTCGGAGAGGTGTCTAGAGCTTGGCCTTCGGCTCGCGAGTGACGAGACCGATGATGTGGCCGCTCGGGGCATCGACTGCGTGGGTAGAGGCGAGTGGAGGGACAGAAGGGAAAGAGAGAACGGAGGAAGGAGCGACGGAGACAATGCAAACAGAGTCAGCCGATGTGACGCAGGATCTGGCTATGCCCTTGACGTACCAGGAGTGAAGACCTCTGCGTCCTTCGGGTCCGTGTTCTTGAGCTTGAAGAAGGAGAGGTCGGGCGCGATGTAGTGCTGCGTCGGCATTGGATCAGCGGCGGTTTCAGCGACAAGCTCGATGCGTGCAACTCACCTTGTTGGGCAACTCGTACTTGATGTCGCTGACCTCCTTGTTGTCGTTGAGGACCTTCTCGCACATGTTGTAAAGCGTCGCCTGCACGCTCGCCGAATTATGCGTCGCAAAGATTTCAAGCGTCGTATCGACGACCGACTTGTAGATCTTGTCAAAGTCGATGCCGAGCTTGGGGAGTGCGGAGATGGAGAGAGCAGAGGGAGAGATCGGGATCGTGTAGGTGCAGTCGACGGCGGTGGAGAAGATGCGGTCGTCGACGGGCTTGAGGGTCGTGTACTCGTCAAAGACGTAGCCTTCAAATGCCGACTCCGTCGTCTTGAGGCAGAGCAAGCCCGTGATGCCGCCCTGGCAAGTCGCGGTGAGAGCGTTCTTGCCCTTGGTCGCGTCGACGACGACCGAGACTGTTCGCTTCTCGTCGCCGTCGCGGACGAACGAGTGCTTGTGCGGCTGGCCGTTGACCTGGATGCGGCTCCACTTGAGCTGGACAATGTCGACCGAGCAGCGGTTCAGGTGGGCCTGTCGAGGCGAAAGTATCAGTCTCTCCCGCTTCAAACCGTAGTACCTGCTGCTCAACGCACGTATTTGGTGACAAAGTGGAGGCCGAGGTGCAGAGCGAAAGATTCGGGCTGGAGGACGTGAGGCGAGGTCTTTGCGAAGATGTTGACGGTGTTTTTCTGCGAGGGGGATGTCAGGAAAATATGCGGCACGTAGTAGCGATTAATACGAACGATCGAGTCCGTCGCCACGATGGGCGCATTGTCCGAGTGCGTCCACGCCCGAGCAACGTCGCTGCAAGGAGGAGAATCAGCGATCGTTGACCCGTTTTCCGAATGATGGAGGCGACGCACCCCTCCACCAAGCACCTGACGATGTACTCGACAAAGTCGTGCTTGCCGTCAGGGTGACGAACGATGCGGGAGACGCGAACAGCGGCCTTGCCGTCTGAAGGCGAAGTACAGCAGGTCAGCGCTTGGCAGGGTTCGGGAGGACGAGGAAGCACACGCACACTTTGCAACAGCGAGATGAACCATCCTGGCGACTAGTTGAGCAGTGAGGGGTGATGGAAGGGCGAAAGTCGAGATAGCGAGGAGAGGAGCGGAGGAAGAGCGGACGACGGCGCGTGGGCAGCTGAGTTCGGTCTTGATAAGCGTGTGTGCGTGCAGCGAGTGCAGTGAGCGGTGCTTTGGCGCTGTCAGGCGAAGGTGAGCGAAGGGAGAGAAGGGGCAAGCCAGATCCGCTCGTCCCGCTCCCGCCAACTCCGCCGACTTGCGGCCGAGTCTCCCGAAGTCAACACAAGGTTACAACATCCCTTACAGACTCGATTACTGCGCTTGACTGCTATGCGATTTATTCCGCCCGCGCCTTGCCCTTGCCCTTGGCCGCCCGTCGCTTCCGTCGCTTCTCCTCCTCCTCAGGGTCAACCACGTCCTGCACGCCGTCAACGACGAGACCGTTCGGGACGACCTTTTCGACAGGACCCTTGACGATTCCGTTCGGCTTGAAGGGACCGGGGATGGCGGCCGGAAGTTGCGGAAGCGAGGGCGAAGGCGAAGGGACGGGCGCTGCCTCCTTCTTCTCCTTCGCGGCAAGGTTGTCGTCGCTGTTCATCGTCTCGGCGGAGAAGCGCTGCTGGACAGTCTTGTAGTGGAGCATCTCGGCTTGCGAGACGGACGGCACGAGCTGTGAACCGTGGAAGCGTCAGTCATGCTTGTGCAAATGACGACTGCGAGAGAGCGCACCTCGGCGAGAGCGGCGTCAAAGTCTTGCTGGGCGACAAGCACCTCGATCTCGGCTGGCGTCGCCATCTCGGCGAGGTAGTACTGCGGCGTGAGCAGCGGAGACTCGCCCGTCGAGTACGGCGGCTGGGCATTCAGTTCCGCTGCGAGCGCCACCAGTGTGAGCTCGTCTTTCTCGCCACGAAACGGAGAGATCACGACGAACCTATCCGCTTATCCACCACCTCCGCCTTCCTCGTCATAGCCTTGAGCATCGCGTCCGAACACAACGCATAAAAGTCGGCGCCGGTGAGGTTGAACGAGCACTTTTCGGCGAGTTTGGCGAGGTCCGTCTCGGGCGCGAGCTTGAACTTGCGCGTCAGGGCTTGAATGATGTTGAGTTGTGCTTGGTGAGTGTTGGAAACGCCGAGGTAGAGCATGCGGTCGAAGCTGTTGGCGCGGGGGCGTTAGCGAATGCTACCGTATTACGAAAGAACGTTCGAACGCACCGTCCAGGTCGCAGCAATGCAGGGTCGAGCAAGTCCGGTCGGTTGGTCGCGCCAATAACGAAGACGTCGTTCCCTCCCTTCCCCTCGCTCATGCCATCCAACTCCGCCAGCAACTGACTCACAATCCGATCCATCACGCCACCCGAATCACCTTGGTTCCCACGCTTCGGCGCAACCGAGTCCAGCTCGTCCATGAAGACGACGCAGGGTTTGGCGTCCCTCGCGCGCTGGAAGACTCGACGGACGTTCGCTTCCGATTCGCCGATGTACATGTTGAGCAGCTCGGGACCCTTGACGGAGAAGAAGTTGAGAGAGCACGAGGTCGCGACCGCTTTCGCGAGGAGAGTCTTGCCCGTCCCCGGTGGGCCGTAGAGGAGGATACCTGTGCGGAGCGCGAACCGTCAGCCATTGATCTCGCGTGAATGCACGAGAGCGGAGGAACAGACCACTGCGCTTCTTGAGCCCGTCCGCAAACAACTCCGGGTGCTCAAGCGGCAACTGAATCGTATCAAGAATGTCGCTCTTGACATTCGCCAGTCCACCAACATCGTCCCACGTGACATTCGGGATCTTGGGCGCGCCGATACTCTCCGAGTACGCCGAGCGAGCTTTGTCGAGCGCGGAATTGAAGTCGAGAGAGGTGAGCGCTACGCCGGCGTGGGCGATGTCGCTCAGACTCGTCGTCGCGTCGGTCGAGGAAGCGAGCTCGAGAACCCGCTCGGCTGCGGCTGCGCGGGCGCGGCGGACGAGGTCGACCAGGTCATTGGCGACGAGTGCGGCGGTTTGGACTGCGAGCGAGCGGAGAGAAACGTCGGGGGAGATGATGTCCGAGGCGGTGAGGTTTCGCAGGATGGCGAGTCGCTCGGGTTCTGCCGGGGCCTGCGACGAAATGTGAGCGTCAGCGACAGATGAAAAGGGTTCAGTGCGACGGGACGCACCTGGATGCCGATCTCCTCCTTGAACAAGCCGAGGACGCCCGTCGGGACCTTCTCGACGTCTGTCGTCGTAGCGACCACGACGACCGGGTGACCGCTCGCTTTCCAGCCGTCCCGGATCGTCGCGAAGCAGTCTCGGAGGACGGTCGTCATAGGCGGTTCTGCGATTTGACCGAAAACTCGAATCAGCAAGCTGGACAGAAGGATTGGCAGCCCACCGAATCGGCTGAGAACGTCTCGAGCGAACTCACCCTGCCCTGTCTCCATCGCCTGACTCTTCCTGGCCAATGCCTCGACATTCCTCAACACCAACACCACCGGCGCACAAGCCAGCGCCTTATCCACCGCCAGCGCCCTGAGGCGTCCCTCCGTCTTCGCATCGCTCTCCCCAAGCAAATCAAAGCAATCCAACTCGAGGAGTCCAACACCGGCTCGACGGGCAACGGAGCGGATGAGAGTTCGTTTGCCGCTTCCCAGGGAGCCTTTGAGCAGGACTGTGAGGGGGAGGGAGTAGGTGGAGGCGCGCGGGGTGAGGGAGGAGAGGAGGAAGTCGTAGAGCTTTGAGGCTGGGGTTGGGGTGCCGAGAAGCGAGTCGGGCGCGAGGGGGACGGTCGGAGAGGATTCTGCAGACACACATACTCTTCGTCAAAAGATGCGCTTCTCGAGACGCAGGGAATGGACGCACCAATCCCAAGCCATCCCGCATCATCCGGCACCCGTCCCCTCTCGACGCCCGTCTGCAACAACTTGGTCACCTTCGGGTCCACAAAGCATCCGAGCAAGCCGTCTTCGAGGCGGCGGTCGAGGTCAAAGTCGCCTGTTGGTGCGGAGGAGGAGGTAGATGCGTCGACTGAGAGAGAGGTGATGAGGAAGTGAACGACGGCTGTCGGGGCGGCGGATTCGTCTGGCAAACTGTGGGCGCCCACTCGAGTAAGCAACATGGCGAGCAAGGCATGGTGGAGGAACGCACTCAAAGTCCTCTTCAACCGCCTCACCCTTCCCCTCCCCGACGTACCTAACCTTCTCCTCGTCAATCCCGACAGCAATCACATCACCCCTCTTGACCGCCCTCCTCCTCCCAGAGAAATACTCCTTCAACCCCTCGAGGAAGAGCGGCTGGTAGAGTTTGTTTACTGAGTGAGGGGAGGCGAGGCGTGAGATGGTTACTGAGGAGGCGGTGGGGAAGGGGAGGGGGAGGATTGGGGAGAGCAGAGGAGCCGGGTGGAGGGTGAGAGAGGAGGGGGAGGAGGGCGTCGAGGAGAGAGAGGAGGGACCGAGGAGGTTGAAGAGCAGAGGCGGGGGAAGATAGAGTGTCGAGATGGAGGACCTATTGAAAGCGCGTCAGCTCACGGGCAAACATCGTAACTGACCCGCGACTCACGCAACTGCCTCTCGTCCGTACAGCAACCCTTCACCCGCGAACACCCTCACAAGCCGTCCCCTATCTTCGTCCTTCTGCTCCTCCTCTCCGCCGACCGCGTTCGCAGGTTCCACCAAAGCCCAGTCTCCACTGAAGAGCCCCAGCCGTCCCAAATCAGCCGTCGAAGCCAGCGCATGAGGGAGGTCGTCTTCGTCTGCGTCTGGCGGAGGGGTGAGCGCGTCGGCCGGGACAGGGAGAGAAAGTGGGAGGGCTGAGATGGATGTGCCGGAGTGAGTGGTGGGAGGGGGCTCGATGAGAGGGAAGCTCTTCCCGTTTACACCGGCGGAGGAGGGAAGGGGAGACGTGAGGGGTGTTGCGTGCGCGCGGCGGGAAGGAAGGACGGAGGAGGCGAGGAACGAGTCGTCGATGTCGAAGTCGAGTAGGTCGTCCTCCTCGGACGCGTCTGTCCCATCCACCAAGCCCGCGTCGACCGCTTCGTCCTCCTGGGCTCCGCCATCTGCGGGCGGCAGAACAAGCAACCTCGTCTTTCCCTTGACGAACGCGCCCTGCAGCAGCGGTTCCGTCACGGCGACTTTCCAACGCCCAACACCAGGCAAGTGCACCACATCGCCCTCACGAACAAGATCCGCTTCTTTTTCTGCGAGGAGCGTCTCGAGTCGCCCTGACTTGTCTGAGGCGTTCGTGTAGGACGTCGAGTCGAGTGAGAGGAAGATCGCGGAGGTGAGCGGGAGCGCTTGCGCTATGCTTAGGGAGAGGGAGGGAGGAGAGGCGGAGGTGGGGGATGAGGAGGACCGGCGGGTGAAGACTGCTGGGTGCGCCTGGACGAGTCGCGTCGGAAGGAGCAAGACGTTCTCTGGCAAGTCCTGTTGGCCCGCATCATCCTGCGAGTCAGTTCGGGCTGCTGGATGAGCCGGGACGCCAGACGGTCCCAGAAAACGCACCTCGCCGGCGTCCCTCATCTCCTGCTTGCTCGCCTCCCTCGCGCGCACAACCACCGTCCTCAACTCCTTCCCTCGCGCAGACCTGGCATGCCTCGGTGCGAGAGCGAGCGCGAGGCAGGTCGGCGGGTCGTCGCGGTCGGGTCCGGGGAGGGAGTCGACGAGCGCGGTCCAGAGAGCGGGTGAGGCGAGTGCTGTCGAAGTGTGTGCTTGTAGCGTGCAGTAATGGGCTGACAGCGAGTCCATCGCTGCGAGTCGAGGTAGCGAGGCGAAGCTGTCGTTTGCCGGTCGCTCGGTAGCCGGAATCGATTACAACTCGATTACAACCGAGTTTGTGATCCTGCTTGTAATGCCACGTCACCCTCTCGGGCGCGCTCAACTTTCAAAGCCCCCGCCCGCGCTCCTCGCTCCTGGCTTCGTCCGCTCTTCCTCACTCCGCTGCCTCGCTGTTCTCCTTCTGACGCTCTCGCTACCTGTCTACGTCTGTTCTACGCTGCTCACCATGCCCACCGAATTCACCACCGTCCGTCTCCCTCCTCTCTCTCCCTGCTCCCTCGATTCGCTTTCCCTCCCTCCCCTCCTCCACTCCTCGCTCCTTTCACTGACGAACCTCGCGAATCCCTCGACAGACCTCCGCCGGCGTCCGACGGATCACCAAAGTCGACCCCAGCGAAGCGCTCGACAAGCCCAACGACCCAAAGACCGTCTGTCCCCTCCCTTTCCTTCCCTCTACGCTCCCTTCTTCCTCTCGCTGACGGAGAAGGGAAAACAGTTCCTTTTGTTGTCAGGAGTCAACCACGCCCTCTTCGGCAAACGCGATGCAAAGCAGTTCTGTCCCCCTTCCCTCCGTTCCTCCTCCCTTCGCGAGCTGATGGGATGGGAAAACAGGTACGGCACGACTACCCTCGCGCAGATTGAAGAACGCGTCACGCAGTTGGGGAAGGAGTTGGGTGTCGAGATTGTGTGTGCGCAGACGGATTATGAGGGCGAGATGTGCCAGTTGGTGCGTTTGCACCTTCACTCCCTTGCCCCTTCCGAGAATCCGTGCCAGCAGCGTCGAGAGGAACTGATCGGGATGAGCGGTGCGCGCAGATCCATTACTCCCGCTGCCTCGGCGGAGTAATCATGAACCCCGGTCCGTCCCCCTCCTCTCTTCCTCCTCCTCCCTTCCAACTGACTAGGAAAGGTCCAACCAGGCGCCTGGGCACACTACTCCTACGCCCTGCGCGACGCCATAGACGCCTGCGACTCTCCCGTCATCGAAGTGCACATCTCGAACGTGTCTGTCCCCTCCTCCTCTCCCCTCTCCTCCCCGGGATACTGACGATGGAGGCATGGTAGATATGCAAGGGAGGAGTTCAGGCATAAGAGCGTCACGGCGCCTGTTGTGAAAGGGTATATCGCGGGTTGCGGGGTGTTGGGATACGAGGTGCGTTGCCTTCCTCCCCTTTCCTTCTCTCAGAGTATGCTGATGATTGGGGACAGTTGGGATTGCGGACGGCGATTGAGAGGAGGAAGGAGAGGGACGCGGAGTTGGCGGTGGCTTCTCAGAAGTAGCTAGGCGAGGCGAGGGAGCTCGCGTTGCGTTGGTGGATGTTATTCGGAGGTTCGTTGTGCGTCCTACGAGTGTGGCGAGTGCGCGAGCGAGACGAGGCGAGCGCGAGGAAGAAGAGAAGAGAGTAGATCAGTCTGCGCTCGTCTCGCTTCGTCTTTCCGCGCCTCTCTATGATAGCCTGCAACAGCTCTTCGTTACCCTATGTACCTTACCGTCCACGAGCCCTCGCTTTCACGCTTCCTTTGTCCCAACGCTCGCTCGTCGCCAAAGACGAAGAAGGAACAGTAGCACAACCGAGTCTTTCACCACCACCTCCTCCGACACCAACATACACACAACGACTGAGCTACTGCTACTAACCGAACGGGAGGAAAGGTAGAGGGAAGGGTGTAGAACGACACACAGGTGAAGTCTCTTCAAAGGGGGTACACAGCGGGTATCAAGCGAGAGAGAGGGTGAGAGGTTCGAGGAGAGGAGAGCGCGAATTTACTCATCGTCGTCCTCGTCAACCGCATCCGCCGCGTCGTCCTCGTCCTCACTCTCAACCTTCTTGGCCTTCTTCGTGGCCTTCTTCTTCGCGGGCTTGGCGGCGGCTGCGGCGTCGGGGTTCTCGGCCTGCGCACACGCACACGGACGAGTGAGAGTGAGTCAGGGACGGAAGGGAGGGGAAGGGAAGAGGGATGGGAGACGAACGTCGTAGGCTGCCTTCTCCTTCTCGTAGCGCGACTTGTCGGCCGAGGCTTTCTCCTCGTAGGGCTGTTGTCGACACCGAAAGCGAGAGCGAGTCAGTCGAACGCGTTCGGCGAGGGAGAGCGCGAGGGAGGGAGAACACGCACCTTGCGCTCGTCCTCGGGGAGCTCCTTCCACTTGGCACCGAGGATCTTGCCAATCTCGCCTATCGGGGTCGCACACACTCGTCAATCAATACGCGAACCAAGCGAGACAGACGCGCGAGGGAGGGAAACGCACCGAAAGTGACATCGGGGTTCTCCTCCTTGACGACCGAGCGCTGGTCCTGAGAGAAGTGCATGTATGCCGAGAGGGGGCGCTTCTGTTTTCCACAACGATACGCGCGCGCGAGGGTCAATACGCGTCCGGCGAGGAGGAATGGAGGGGAGGGACAGACGGGCGCGTTAGGGTCCTTCTTGGCACGGCCGCCGGTGGCAGCCTTGGTCGCGCGGGGCTTGGACTCCTTGGGCATTGTTTTGACTGTTTCCGCGAGAGCGAGAGGGTCAGCGAGGTGAGACGAGGGTTTGTTGTGTGTTGTGGTCGGAGGGGTCGACCACCGGCCTCGCTCGTTCAACCTCGCGCTTCGCGTGGGTTGTCGAGAGCACGTGGGCGCGTCGAACGAGTGGTTGGAGGGAACGATACGCGCGCGAGAGGGCTAGAGTGGGTGTGAGGCGTGCACGAGCGAGGTGGGGCTGCTTTGTGAGAGGGCAGCGAGGGAGGGAGGGGGGGTTGCTGACGACGCGAGAGGCTGGACGGCGAGCGAGTGGACTCACGAGATTGAGTGAGAGAGCGTGAGTGAGTGACTGCGAGGCGAGGACAGGGTGAGTGAGGGTGCAAAGGACAGCGCCAGGCGAGTTGGGCTCACGGGGGAGGCGATGTGTGCGGGCGCAGCGAGAGAGAGCGCGAGCAGGCGCACTCGCAGGCAGACGCTTCAACTCATTACAACTCGAGTTTGTATTCAGCTCATTACAACCACAACTTACACCTTCAACCCACTCTGTTACAGCCGGGACAGCCTCATTGCACTCGTGAGAACATCACACATCACCAGCAAGCACAGGCAAACACCCCTCGAAGAGAGCGACCCCCTCCCCTCTCGTCGCCTCATCGTCATTCACTCTCGCTCCCCTCGCACACACAGCCCAGCCATGTCAGACGAAGCAGCAAACGTGCCCGCAGCACAAAAGTCTGGTGAGCTTCCCGCTGCACTCGATCCGACTGTCGACGAGGACTCGTTCCATCCCCATCCCCCTCCACCGAACTCCCGACGTCGCCTCGCAACGCGCCGGAGCTCGTGGGGGATGTGTGGAGCTTGCGGCGTGATGGAGTTGGAGCAGGGGCGTAAGGGTTTGCGGACGGAAGGGCTGGAGTGGAGTAGGGAAGGTGGGGACTCGCCGCTCAGTCCGGCATGGGGTGCTCGTCGGTCGTCAAGCGAGAGGAACGGACTCGCTGGCTCTTCAGGTCGCAGGCGGGACGAGCACACTGCTGCAGGACAGGAGAAGGGACTGACGAACTTCGCTCGCGTCGACGCAGGATGGACCAGCTTCCTCAAGTCTCTCGCGTCCTTCTCGGGCGACTTGTCCGGCCTGACCGCTCCGCCTTTCATCGTGCGTCCCCACCCTTCCCTCATCCACTTTCTGTACTGACGCAAGCTGGCCCCGCAGCTCTCCCCAACCTCGCTCTCCGAATTCCCCTGTCCGTCCTTCCCTCCCTCCTCTTCATCCTCCTCCTCCTCCTGCTGACGAAACGCGCCACACAGCCTACTGGGGCGAACCGAAAGACCTCTTCACCTCGATCGCAGACGGAAAGACCCCCGAAGACCGTCAGTTGAGGGTCACGAAATGGTTTTTGAGCACGCTTAGTGGGCAGTTTACGAGGAGGGAGAAGGAGACTGTAAGTCTCGGCCGTTCTTCATTGAGCGTTTGATGGGGAGCTGATGTGGTTTTCTGGGCGTGCGTGCGTAGGGGTCGGAGAAGAAGCCTCTCAACCCGTTCGTCTCCCTCGCCTCACCTTGTCCTTCCGACTAGCGAGGTACTGACGAGATCGGACACACAGCTTCCTCGGCGAGCAGTTCCTCGGCTCGTGGGACAACGGCGAGCTCGTCCTCACCGTTGAACAAGTCTCGCACCACCCGCCTATCACTGGTTCGTCCCTTTTCCCCTTTCCTCCTCGCGTAGCCCCTCGCTCTTCGCTCCGCCCTCACGGTCCTCGCTGACGCTCGTCGCACAGCCTACCACCTCGAGAACAAGAAGCGCGGCATCGTCTTCGAAGGCAACTGTGCGCAAAAGACAAGTTTCTCGGCGCGGATGATCAGCGTCAAGCAGGTTGGACATGGGATCCTGAGGGTCAAGCTGGGTGATGGGTCGACTGAGTGTGCGTGCGCTTCCCTTCGCAAAGGGGAAGAGAAGGGAGGTGCTGATGTTGTTGGGCTCGCAGCGTATCTTGTCACGCTTCCCAAGCTCAAGATTGAGGGGTTGTGGACGGGCAAGCCCTACGTCGAGTTGACCGAGACGTCCTACATCCAAGGTTCTCACGGCCTCACCTCGACGATCAAGTACTCTGGCGCCGGATGGGTGACTGGCACGTCGCACTCTCACACGACGACTATTACGACCGGTCCGGGTGGTCCGACGCTCTATACGATTACGGGGACGTGGACGGGCGAGAGCAAATTTGTCAAGCCTTCGAAGGAGGGGAGGGAGGGGACTGTGTTCCTTGATGCGGGGGAGGAAGGGATGAGGGAGCCCATCAGCGTCAAGCCCGTCGAGCAGCAGGGCGAATACGAGTCTCGAAGGGCTTGGAAGGCCGTTGCGGATGGGATTCGGAGCGGAGATTACAACGCGGCTAGTGTGGCCAAGGGGGCGTTGGAGAATGCCGAGAGGCAGAGGAGGAAGGATGAGCTGGCGAACGGTCAACAGTTCCAGCTTAGGCTGTTTGATCTCCGCCAGAACGACCCCGAGTATGCGCACCTTGCCGCGTTGCTCAAGTTCAAGGTGCGTTCGCGCGACTCTCCTCCGGGCTTCCGCTGACCTCGCTCGTTGCGCACCAGCCCGAGGAGGAAGACTCGTGGATCCTCAAGGCGCAATAGTCGCCCCTCTCTTCTTCGTCCTCGCCCTCTCGCCTCGCTCGACTTGTGATATACGGCTCCGTCGTCAAGACTTCTCCTCCTTCTCCCGATGGACATCTGTTCTCTGAGTTCCTGCAAGACAGTCGTATTGCCACGCTTCGAACTTGTCTTTGTCGTGGTCGTCGTTGAGCGAGAGGGGGCTGTGCACGGCGCCAGGGTTGACCTCGCTCTTCTCCCTCGACAACGCTCGTTCGCACGCTCAAGAGACCGAAGCTAGACTGCAACATGCTCTCGCGGATACGCAGGCCGACCAACTACCGCCGGCGTCCACCACGACTCTCGGGCTTCCCGCTCATCTCCCTCCTCACTTCGCTCGTCTTGCTCGGCCTCTCATCGACGCAGGCAGCCGCACAAAGCGTGACGACCCTCACCGACCCCTCCACGACCACGATCACCCTCGACCCAGCCGGTTCAGCAACCTACTTCCTCCCCTCTTCGTCCTCGCCCAATCCACCCATCTACATCTCCCTCTCACTCTGCTCTATCCCTTCCTCCCTCGCACAAAACACCTCCTTCCTCCTCCCCCCCGTACTCGACACACTCCTCTACGTCTCCTCCACTCCCAATATCCAACCTCACCCCTCGAACGCTTCGACTCCAGACGATGTCTTCAATCGCGGCGAGTCGCTCGCTACGAGTAAGCTGGAGTATGGGTATGCGAATGTTACGCTGGAGGTGAACGAGGGAGGAGGAGGGATCTATGTTGCGGTTTTCGCGCCTGACCTGTCCAGAGTCCTCGACCCCGACTCGCCTGTAAACGGACAGTGGCAATTCGAGTTGGATGTCAGCTCCGGGACGGCGGATCCGCCTTACGTTGCGCGCGGGCGGGCGGGTCTGAGAACGGAGGACACGGATCTGAGTTCCGTCCTTCTTTCAACCGCGAAATGGACGGGCAATCAAGCGCCGTCTTATCAAGCCATCGTCGCGCCGACCAACAGCCTCTCACTCGCATTGTCGAGGTCCAAGTGCTTCGTGCGGAGTATGGCAGGCCAGTCGGTCGCGACGGCGTCGAACACCAATACGAGCACGACGACGAGGGGTTGGCCTGCGGGCGGGACGAGGACGCAGTTTTTGGTGGACGGGCTCGACAGGGGTGCGAATTATACGGCTTGGTTGGTGGAGAACGGGACGATGGCGGATGGAGGAGGGGCGAATCAGACGCGTGTGTGGGACCCGGTGTTCTTCGCAACCAAGAGTAGTGCGTCGAGTCTCGCTTCTTCAGCTGTGAGTTGGCTAACGGATGGTTGCGCAGCCGACTCGTGTCGACTTGTCTACGACATCGATGTCTGTCCCTCGGTCGCCTACTCCGTCCCCGCTCCCGCCTCGCTCGACACCCCATCCCTCATCTCCTTCTTCAACTCGTCCATCTCGGCCTTCTTGGCCAACTTCACTCGTACCATGACGACCTTCCCCTGCGGCTCGGACGAGATGGGCCGGTACTCGGTCGTTTCAACCTGCCAAGACTGCATCAACGCTTACCGCGACTACATTTGCGCGATGACGATGCCGCGGTGTACGGATGCGCCGTCGAATGCGACTCTGAACGACACGACTCTCGCAGCGGGCGACTCTCTCCCCTCTTACGCCATCCCCGCGCAATACGAAACCTCGCTCATCCGCACCGACCCCTTCGCCTCCCGCACGCCACTCTTCGGCCCCTCCAATCTCTCCACCACCTTCCCAACCCTCTTCAACTCGACCTACCGCCCCACACGCTCCAACCTCCTCGCCCAGTCCCCCTTCCCTTATACCGAAACCCCACCCTGCCTCGATATCTGCTACCTAGTCGAAGCGCGCTGTCCGCCTTTCCTGGGGTGGACGTGTCCGAAGAATAGCGATGGGTCGCCGAGTGGGGGGACGGGGTCGGCGGCGTATGGAGTCACGGTGGATGTGCCGAGTTCGCAGAGGTTGGGAGGGGATGTCAAGGGGAGTGACCTGCATAAACGCGCGGCGGATCGGTGGGGGAACGTCTAGTGAGTTTCGAAGCCTTTCTGTGGCGCTGGGATCGACGTGACGAACCTGTTGAGCATGCGCAGCTGCAACGCCCTGTACTCCGACCTCGCGATGGCCGCTCAGTTCGCTCCTCCGTCCAGCACCGCGTCTCTCTCGATGAGCATCCCTCGCATCGCGCTGGTATCCCTTGTTGTAGCAGTAGCATTCATGTTGTGCTCGTAGACTCTCGCAGCAATAGAATCGTCGTGTCGTCTTCTCAACGTTGTCGGAACTTTGCTCGGTACAACGACTTTTTGGCACTGCACTTCACGGGAGGGGTTTGTAGATCGGACACTGCGAGAGACGATGAGGAGAGAGACGGGAGAGAAGGCAAAAGGTGGGCGGGCAAGCCTGCTCGCCCCAAGGAAAGGAGGGGAATAGACAGATGCAGGCGGTATAGGGCGGCGTGCGGTCTACTACTTCTTGGTCGCGCAGTAGAAGCTCGCGTACCTGCAGAGCGCGAGAAGGTCAGTAACAGCGAGGAGAAGCGGAAAAAGAGTAGAACTCACATGTTGACGCGGTCAATCGGGATCTTGCCGCCGATCGGACGCTTGTGGATGCACTCGACCTTGAAGCCCTCGCGGCGGTACAGTTCGAGGTACCACGGTTCCTGGCCGGCCGAGCGGAAGAAGACGCGGCCGTTCGGCTTGAGCGCGTTGCGGAGGGTGCGGATCGTCTGCGTCAGCTCGCAGGGCTTCGAACCCCGCGCCGGAGGCGAGTCGACGGTGTTGGGGAACCCTGCGCGAGCGCGAGAGACGCGAGGTGAGTGAGAGTCGTCGGACAGCGGGAAGGGCGAAGCGCACAATCTTGCAAGTCCATGATGATGGCGATTGTCAACGAGTCCTTGCCAAGACGGTTCATCACGTTCATGATGGAGTCGGTGTGGAGGCGGAAGCAGTCGAGCGCGGCACCGTCGTTCTGCTTGAGCTTCTCGAAACCTTCGCGGGTGAGGTAGAGCGGGCACGAGTCCTTGGTGTACTTCGCCTCGAGGCAGAGTTGGTACTGTCGACGCGAGCACGCCGCGTCAGCGGGAGTGGCGATAGAGGAGCGAGAGGGAACGCACGAAGTAGTTGTCCTTCGCAACGTGCGAGTTGAGGCCGATCGGGTCGAGCGCGTCGATGGCGAACTGCGAAGTCGTCGTCTCCTTGAGGAAGACGCGCGCCTGGTTGATGGGGACGCCGAGCGAGTTCCACTGGAAGATCGGGTTGGCGAGGAAGACCTTGCGGATGAAGGCGGAGAGGATGATGGGGCGGATCCGGCTCGTCCAGATGCGGCGCTGCTCTTCGAGAGTAGGCGCGGCGCACATCTTGTGGACTGAGCCGTACATGCCCGTGATGCGAAGTGCCCAGTACGCGAGGCGAAGGGCGTGGCCGGAGCTGCGAGCGAGACGGTCAGTCGCTGCTGAATGCCAAACGCCACGTTCCGCGAGACTCACTAGCCGCGCATGTAGAAGGCAGAGTCGAACATGTGGTCGTTCTTGCGCCAGTACTGGTAGGCATGCGAGGTGAGGAAAGGCGAGAGCTTCGAGTCGAGGAGCTCGCGGAAGTTGGGGTGTCGGCCCTCGCCGAAGAGCTGCAAGCGAGTGAGATGTGTAAGCGACTTCCGTACTCCAACCCCCGGGAAGCAATTACGCCTTGAGGCAGCACTCACAAGCCAAAAGTCGTCGTACTCGAGGGCGTAGATGCAGGCGAGCTTGAGCTCGAGGACGTGGCCCTGGCACGGATTGAAGTCGACCGTGTGGATGCGGCGAGGCTGGGCCTCGATTGCGTCTGCGCGCGACGAAGGTCAGTAAGGCCGAGAGAAGGCTCGTAGCGCATGGACGACTTACAGTGCAAGCTGCGAATTTGCGTAAGGCGTTAGCCGCGAGTTCGCGTATCAAGAAACAAGCGAGACTCACGCGTTGCAGCCGCCCGACGTAATGCAGAGAACCGAGTCGTCCTTGTTGATCTTGAGGTGCTCCATGTCGACACGCGGGTCCTCCCATGCGAAAGCATAGGTGAACGTGCGGAACTCGTGGTGGACGGGGTCATCGATGTAGGGCACGCGCCAGTGGCGGTAGCCGTAGTGGAAGGCGGAGAGCTGCAACTCGGGCGCAATGTCGATGCGGACGCTGTCGCTCTTGTCGCTGTTGTCGCTTGAGCGCGAGTAAGCGCGGTTGACGCGCTGCTTCGGCTTGCTCGCCGAAGAGCGGGAGCGCGAGCGAGAGAGAGCGGCCGAGACGCCGAGAGCGAGGTCGGGGATCTCGTTGGTGCTGGCCTGGCGCGAAAGAGTCGGCATGAGCAGAGGCGAGGGCGACGCGGAGATCGTGTTGCCGGCGTCGATCTCATAGGCCTGGTTGGCGGAAGACGTGTCCACGCGGCGGGACGTGTGAAGCGAGACGTAGCTGGAGGGGAGGATCAGCGCGAAGCGGACTGGAAGTCTGCCGGGGCGGCTCACTAGGGAATGCGAATCAAGCCGGGAAGTACGAAGCCGTTACGCGCGTTGAACGACTTGATCGTCGCGCTGCATGAGAAGGCGTGTCAGCTCGTTGCCTCGCGGGCTTCGAGCTAATCGGGCTCACAAGCGGTGCTCGAGGTACTGGCGGCGCGAGGGGTGCAGGTCGACGTGGTCCAGCTCGAACCAGTGGAGCCAGAACCACCGCGTCAGCCAGGAGCACTGGCGGGAGGTGACATCGCCGATAACGCCGGCGACCGAAGTCGTCTCACGGGCGGAAACGTAGAAGTCGCAGACGGAGAAGAGGCCCGACGGGTGGAGGAAGCGCTCGACTCGGTCGAGAAGGGTAAGGTGGTCGGGCATCATGCTGCGGGCGAGAAACCAAGAGTCAGCTCCTCATGCGCTGGTCGAGGAGGAAGGCGACCCACCTGAGCGAGTAGCTCATCGTGACGAAGTCAAGTCCGCCTTCCTCGCCGAGTCCTTCCTCGGTCCACTCAGGCAGGACGAAGTGCGTCGCGTCCTGGAGAAGGCACTGCACGTTCTTCCAACCTCGCGCCGCGAAGCGCTTTCGCGAGACTTCGAGGAGAGGGCCGCAGAGATCGAGGACATAGACAGCGTCGAACTCCTTGATGGGGAAGTACTGCGTTTGCGCAACAGAGGGTCAGCTCGTCTCGTCTCCGCGACGTGAAGAGCGACTGGAGACCCGCCTTGTCCATCTCCTCAACGTTCCAACCCGTACCGCCACCGATGTCGAGCCAGATGAGGCGCTTGTTCGGGTTCTTGCGACGCTGCTCGCGCAAATGAGCCGCCGAAAGCTTCAACATCGTGGTCCTGCCGCGAAGGAGCTTGGAACGGGTCTTGTCGTAGATCTTGATATGGAACCGCTGGTCAGCGCTTGTCGCGTGAGGGTTGGACTTGGGTTCGTACGCACCGCAGCCTGGCCTTGGTAGAACCTGTTCAGCCTGCCCTCCTGCGACGCGTTCTTGCCCAACGGCTGAAAGAAGCAGTTCCACGCGAACGTCCAAGCCGTGACCAGCTCCCTCGCGAAGCTTGAGAGCGCAATGACGGCAATTCCGGCGCCGAGGAGCCAGGCAGACATGCCGGCGTGCTGGGTGTACGTCGTGAGCTGCGCCTGGAGAGGTCGGAAGTAGAGTCCAAGACCGCCGGCTGCGCCGAGCAGCAACATCCTGGACGCCATGCTGCGCGTGTAGTGTCTGATAGAGTCTGTTGAGAGGTGCGAGAGCGTGCGGGTCGTCGAGGTTGAGCTCGAGAGTGCGGAAGGGAGAGGAGGAGGGAGAACGAGGGAAGTCGGGGGAGGAGGGGCGCCAGCGCTGTGAAAGGGACGGCAGAAAGCGATGAACTAGCGCGCTCAGCCAATAGCAGGGTTTCCGCCGCCGCCACGACGCCCTCAACTCGAGGTCCACGTTCGAGGGAAGCGTCGGGGCGAAAGTCACCGACGGCGCGTCGCGGGTGCCGCCGTGCACTCCCAGGCGCGTACATAGCGTCTTAACTACGTGTGTGAGCCTTCACATCTGCCCAGCGAGCGGAGCGGGGTTCAGGATCTTGGTCAACCGACTCCGACTTCATCAGTCGACGACTTGCGCGTTCTCTCGCCTCTCGTAGGGGTCGCTGGCACAGCTGTTGGTCTACAGGGTCTATCGCAGGACTTGTACAGCGAGTAGCGAGCCGAAGAAGTGAGTTTGCGAGGCGGGAGAGCAGGACTCCGGCGCGAACGTGCAGCAGGACGTCCGCTCGCGCGCTCCGGCGCCCTGCGCGCTTTCTTTGCGCGCCGGTAGAGGCGTAAAGCTATAAACAATGCAGCGATGCGATACAGCGGAAGAGCCAGAATACGAACCGCGACAACCTGCCTCCTCCCTCAGAACCGCGCAACTTGCTGCTCCAGCTGCTCAAGCACGCCACGAGTCCCCTTGCGCCTGCCTTCGACGAAGCGGATGCCGGCATCTTGCAAAGCCGCAAGCATTGGCGGCCAGACTTCGTCGCTCGCCGGCGAGACGACGCCGCGCTGTGCGATCTTGCCGTCGAGGTAGAGTAAGGCGCCGAGGGCGATGGGCTGCAGAGAATGAAGAGTGTCAATCCAACGTCACAAGTGGTCAAAGAGCGAGACTCACGACTCCAACAGTCGTGGCCATCGCGGAAGCCTTCTCGTCGCCGTACTGCTCGGTTCAAATCGTCAGCGCCTCCTTCTCCCGCTATGATCTTCCTGACAAGCGCGCAAGCTCACCTGTACCAACGATGACGTGAACAACTCGACCTGCCCATCCGCAGACTCGGTCGTTACCTCGTGCGTGAGGACGACGGCGTCTCGCTCTCCTGGCTTGTAGGCGAGACGGTTCGCCAAGATGCTCGAGAGGAGGTCAATCGGCGCGCATGGAGCATTTGGTAGAGGCGGAAGGTCGGCGGCGGGCGAGACGTCGGAACTGTCGACGAGCGAAAGCCTGCGAAGGGCAGGTCAGCGTTGGCCCAAAGTCGCCTCAGAGCAGTACTCACGCCTGCAGCTCCTGGATGACCTCCGCCAACGCCGCATCGCCGCCGAGGACTTGCTTCAGAGCCGATTGCAGACTCGCCTCCGAGTCGAGCACGACGCCTCGCTTCCGCAGGCAAAGGAGGACGAGGTCGGTCCACCGCTCGATCGGAGCGTTCAGCGTCTCCGTGTCGAACAGTCCCATCTTCTTGAACGCGTCGGCGATCTTCGAGAAGCCAGGATAGCGCAGCGTGCCGCGCAAGATGGTTGGCAAGTCTCGGTCGAGCCCGTACTGCGGCAAGTAAGCGAGCGAGTCGCGGTTTGCGACGCCTTCAAAGGCGAAGCCACGGATGAGCCGGACGGTAGGGAAGTTGAGGCGGAGGAGGTCGGAGCCTGGGATGGAGATGTTGCGGCCGGATAGGCGGAAGGAGGCGGAGTTCAGAGCGGCAGTGAGGACGCCGCGAGGGGACCATCTGTGCGGGCGGCGTCAGCGCTGCAGCCTTAGAAGTCATATCCACTACTCACGAGAACTTATAGCCAAGCGGGACGTTGCTGATCTCCGGCGCGGGCAACCCGCCGCAGAACGAAACAAACGACTTGATCTGCGGGGAAACGGGTCAGTTTGCCCCACTGGAGCGAACGGCGAGAAACTCGCCTTGTTCCCAGTCTCTTTTGCCTCGTGGATCAGACGCATGGCGGTGATGTGGTCGATGCCGGGATCCAGTCCCAACTCGTTCAGCAGCACGACGCCGGCATCCTTCGCGCTGCAGTCGACGGAAGTGTCAGCAAAGTCTGCGGCGGGACGTAGAGCGGGAGACTGACGACTCGTGTAGAGCAGACATCGCGGGCGAAACATAAGAAGCCGTAACGAGCGCCTTGTTGTGCTTGATGCACAGCTTCGCGACGTTGACATGCATCGGGGCCGGGAGGAGGCTGCTCGACGCTCAAGTCAATCTCGATGATCCAGGGTAACAGCGAGGGAAACGCACCTCAGCACAACATCGGCACTCGCGACGAGATCACTCAGTGCCTGCTCAGAGCCGGCGTCGAGCGAGACGGCAGAGACATTCTCAAGGCCGGATGCAAGCTGCTCAGCAGCCGGCAAGTCGTTGCTCGCTGAGCAAACGGAAAGATCAGCCTTCTCTCCCACCATCGCCGAAAGCGAGACGCACCGACAATCACGTCCACGTCAGGTCGGGCTGCCAGCGTCCGGACTGCGGGACCAGCGACGAGCCTAGAACGGGGCAGGTCAGCGACGGAGCGGTCTCGCGGAAGATGCGCGGCTCACCCAGCACCGAGAACGACCGCCTTCCTCCGCTTCTCCGCTACACTCGCTTTCTCCAGTAACTCATACAGCCACTCATGCTGCTTCTCCAGCTTCCCATCCTTTACAAGCGTAGCGCGCTTCAAGGCTTCACGAATCTCCGAGTCGCCTGTCGAGCGCGCGAGGGACGGGTCGTCGAGCAGGTGTCGGAGGTAAGGGAGGAGGACGTTCGAGAAGTGCTTCGTTGCGTCGAGGGGGAAGGCGGAGGGGAGGATCTCGACGCTTGAGAGCTGGACGGAAGTGGGATGGGCGGGGCTGGAGGTTGCGAAGGTCAGCGGAAGAGAGAGAGGTAAAAGCGAGGGGGAGCGCTCACTCGCGGTGCAGCTGATCAGAAACTGCGTCGTACTGTACGATCGGGTCATCGAGCGTTGTCGCAGCCTTGACGAACTCTAGGCCGCCCTGGTGTCAATCGCAGGAAGTCAGCCTCTGCGCGTGCACGAAGGACTCGCCGACTCACGCCAAAGTCGCACGAAACGTCAACAATAGAGATGAGCCGGCTCTTCGAGTTTTGCTGAAGTGACGCGAGCTGTGCCGTCGTGAGAAGGCGAGGCGAAGGCGGCGCCCAGAATCCGCCGTTGAGGAAGACCGTCGAGTAGGGTGCAATCTGGCAAGCTAAAGGTCAGCTCCGCGATGAGAGAAGGCAACGACGAGCGCACCTTCTCGTGGAAGACGGAGTCAAAGCGCTCAGGGTGTGCGCGGTACTCCTCCCGGTCGAACGCCTTGCCGCTCCGGTCGACGAGGTAGTCGGCCAGCTCGAGGTGGCAAGCGTAGATAGTAGTCGGAGCGCCTAAGATGTCATTCCTGAGCGCGACGCTCATGGGTACGAAAGCGAGGACGCACGGTTGACGACCTCGGACAGCATGTCCGCCTTAATCCACTCGACACCCAGCTCATCCAACGCTCGCCGCGCGCCGTCGCCGACCTTCCCTCGACCTGATACTGCGATCACGATCTGTGCGCCAAATGTACTTGTCAGCTTAACGACCCAGCTGAAGGCGGAGTTGGACTGACCGGACCCAGCTTCTGCCCCATCTCGCCTCGTCTAACCTCCTCGCCTACGCGCCGCAGCTCCGTCTCCATCTTGTGCACGGTACCCGCCTGCAACGGTCGGGGCAGGCTGAGGAAGGGACTGACAACTCCTTTCCCAGCGAGGAGTTTCGTCCCGAGCTGCGCAAGTCCGTCGGCCATCCCGCTGTAGCCCGCAAGGAAACCGAAGCCGACGGTCCGCTTGCGTGGTGGAGCGGTAGGCGGGGTAGTTGAGGTGCCAGGAATGGTCGGCTCAGAACGAGCAGGCGCGCCGGAGTAAGAAGTGAGGAGTTCGTAGTCGATGAAGCGAGTGCCGCTCTGCTTGGACGACTGTAGCAGCGTGCGTAGGAGTGGGTGGTTGTATTCTTGTCCTTTGTGGCAGTGGAAGAAGGCTAGGTGCGCGGCTGGTTTGTTGGGAGAGGTGTTTGAGAAAAGGGAGGGGATGGTGGGCTCCTTGACACCGACGACGACGTCGCAGGCGGAGGAATCGAAGGTGTCGACGAGTCGTGCGCCGGCCTGTGCTTGCGAGTTAGCCGCACATCCGGATAAGCGGCGCAAGAACGAATACTCCTCCTCGCACCTTGGCGTACTCGTCGTTCCCAATGGCCCTCTTCGCGCACTTCTCGACCAGCACTTCGTGGCCATCCTTGACGAGTTCAGCTACGGCGGTTGGGTCCAAAGCAGCCCTCCTTTCCCACTTCCTTGCCGGGTCCTCTGCCCTCAGTCCCAGAACAGCGAGCGCCTGTGCAGACGCCGAGAACGCCCGCCCCTTGACTCGTAGCTGTCGTGCAAGGCGTGTACGGGCTCGAGAGACGCTCTGCATCGTGTGTGCAGTCCAAGCGAGCGAGCAAGATAGCGTGAGCGAGGTGTGTCGCCCCGCATGATCTGCGAGAGGAGCGGGCGGACGGCGGCAATCCGCACCGAAGTTTGGCGCGGAGCCAAGGCGCGTGCGCGTGCCAGCAGCACGTCCACCTCTTTAGGACGAGCACCAGCCCTTGGCGGGAGCAGCGAGCGGAGGCGACTGAGCGGCAGGAGGACAACCCTCGCCGACGTCGCGAACGGCGGAAGACGGCTTTCGCAGAGTTCGTCGCGGTCCTCTCGTTCGCTCGGCACATTCAGAGAAGTGATATTGGCAACAAGAGCGACGGTACAACGAGAAGAATGAGCGACTGAAGTCACTGCCGACTGCTGCACTCGCAGTCGCATCCAGCGACCGCGCAGACTCGCGAGGCTGGTGAAACGAAGCGTCAGCAGCGTCGACGAACGCCCGGCAGTGTGGGAACGCACTCTCGAACCAGGCGAGGAGGTGAGAAGCGTGTCCGCCGTGCCGGCAGCGGATGCACCAGGAGAGCGTTGCGGCTGAAGAGCGGGATCCTCGTCAGTTTCGCCTCAACGGTCGACGCCTGAAATTGCACTCACGGCCATCTGCTTCGAAGGCGCTGACTGAAGGGCGGGTGAGGCAGACAGAGCAGGCCGGAAGCTGCTTCGAGCAGGACGGACAGAGCGAGGCCTGCAAGAACGACCGTCAGGCGCATCCCCGTGAACCTCTACGGCCACTCACCTTGTGCCCACGCGGTCCATCACCCTTCCGACCTTCCCGCTGCTCGCCAGGCAAGAACACCCCTTTCGGCGGCGAGATGTTGGTCGAGCAGAACTGGCACCGAAGCAAGATCTGCGGCGGAGCCGTCTTGCGCATCGCCGCCACAAGCTCCTTCGCCTCGGCTTGTCGACCCGCCGCACGAGCCTGTTCGAGCGCCGCGCGCGCTCGTCGGCCTCGCGCAGCATCGAACATCGCCCGCGCTGCATAGAGCTGGAGTTTGTCCAGCTGCGAGCGGTAGGTCTCGACCCACCGCGTGACGCGCATGTCGGCGCGGATCATGCCGGGGGAGGTGAAGGAGCATGCGAGGGCTACGGTCTGGACGTCGGCGGTGCGGTCGACGTAGGAGGAGAGGAGCTTGAGACCGTCGTTTCGCAGGCCGAAGAGGACGACGGCTTCGAGGTCACTTGAGGAGAGCGCTTCGTCGCCGATGTCTTGCAGGAAGGGGATGAGCTGCAACAAAGGAGGGTTGGCCAGAGTGACTGAAAAGATGCGGTGGAAAGGCTTCGCTCACCTCGCTGTCAGACAAGAAGCTGCATAGCCGACTCGTCAGCACGCTGATGGGTGTGAGCGGGGGAAAGCGGACTCACCGCAAAGCCACCGCCACCCGATCCCTCAACGCCAACCCCGTCTCATCCACCAACTCCCTCCAATCGCTCGTCGCCAAGTACGCAAACATCGCCCTAACCCAGGGCGTCTCGACGTCCGAGGAGAGCGAGCGGCACAGGGAGGCGTAGTTGGATTCGGAGCCGCGGAGGGAGTCTTTCTGCGCGAGGTAGGCGGCGACGATGGGCGCGAGCATGCGGAGGTTCTCGTCTGCGCGAGGAAGCGTCAATTGGATAAGCACCCCAATGAGCGACGCCACGTACCCTTGCAGAGGCGCAAGTAGCCCATCGACTTCTCCAGCTGTCCCGAAAAGAATGCATGCCTCGCAGCACCCTCATGATCCCCAGCCTTCGCCAACTTCGCACAAACCGCCTCCCAGCCCTCCTCCCACTCCGCACCACAGCACGACAACGCGATCTTCCTCTGCGCCGCAAACTGCGACGAGCTGATCGCAAAGACGTCCTTCAGTTTGCGCTTGGCGACCAGTTGCGCGCAGCCTGCGGCGTAGGCGGCGTGTTTGGATTGGGCTTCGTCACCGCGCCGGAGGGAGCGGGTTATGTCGGTGTAGATCGAGCGGGGAGTCGCGGCGCGAGGGGAAGTGCCAGGAGAAGAGTGAGTGGAGGAGGTGGGTGACGCAGAAGCGTTGGGGTGCGTCATGCCGGAGGGGAAACCGAGGAGGATACGAAGGACGCCGCGGAAACGAAAGTCGTAATCCGGGACGCATGCCTCGCTCGAGAGCGCCTGGGCGCCTGCGGACGTTGAGAGAAGTCAGCTTCATTCCTCGAGGAAAGAGCTGAGCTGAACGCGGAACGCACGTGTGACCCACAGCCAGAACTCCTTGACACCCGCATCGCTCAGTCCAGCATTCACGAGCGGGTCAGACCCATACCCCGCCTCTACCCGTTCCCTCACCACAACCGACATATCGGTGCTCAAACTTCTGAGTCCCATCTCATCCGCCGCATTCGGCGCCACAAGTTGCACTACTCCACCGCTCGAGATCCGTCGCATGAGCATGTTTGATGGACGGGGAGTGAGGTTCCGGTCTGTCTGGGGCGGGAGTAAGCCTGCGAGTGAGAGGGTGCGGCCGCGGTCGGTTGTTTGTGGGCTGCGGATGAGCGGGTCGACGGAGATTTGGAGCGCCGGAGTCGCGGGGGAGATGGAGAGACGGCGATGGGCGGCGGCGAGCGAGTCGAGCGGGTCGGAGTCGTCGAGCGTCGAGGAACCGACCGGGATCGAGTAGGTCGAATGCTTGTCGGGCGAGGACGAGACTAGGATGCTCCGCTCGAGGAAGGCTGAGTGAGAAGCCGGTGGTAGGTCGATGATCTCGAGCCGCTGGCCGGACGAGCCTGGGTTCGCCGAGTCGCGCGAGAGGCCGACGAAGCGCAGCTCGGCGGAGTCGCCGCTGCTCGCGAAAGCGAAAGACGTGGGCGTCTGCTGGAATGAGCGGGCTGCGCGAGAAGAATCGTTAACGATGCGATTCAGGCGGTGGAAGGAACAGCACGCACTCTTCCGGTCGTCCAAGACGATCGGCATCCTCAGGACGTCCTTCTCGTCAACTCCCGCGTCCATCTCGCCCGTCATCGCGCCACTCGCGCCTCCCGCCCTGAGAGGCGCGCCCACTCCTCCCGCCGCACTGACCAACCTCGGCCCCGGCCCATCCACAAGATTCCACACTCTCAGCGCCGACCCGTCCCTCTCCAGCATCGCAAACACGCCCCTCTTCTCACTAGACCAAGCCGTCTCCGCCAAGGGTCTCGGCACGACATTCGCGCGTTGTTTCTGAGCGGGGTTCGAGCCTGCGTCGACTTCGGAGAAGGAGAGGAGCGGGTCCATCGGTTTCCGGAGGTCCCAGAGTCGGACTATCCCGTCGTCGCCGTAGGAAGTCAGCTGCTGGCTGTTGAAAGGGTTGGATTGGATGCCCCAGATTGAGCGCGTCGACCAGGTCGTGACTGTTGAAGGAGGGGAACGGAGGTCGTATACTCGCAGCCACTTGTTGGCCATTGCGGCGGCGAGGAGGGGAGAGGTGTCGGATGCGGAGGGGCCGGCGGGCGAGGCAAGGAAGGCCGCGGAGGTGATTACTTCGGACGAACCGAACGAGACGAGCGGGAGTGGGTCGTGGGGAGAGGGAGAAGGTGAAGGGGAGGGCAAGCTTGAGAGGCGAGCGGGGGACTGGTTCCTGCTGCGACCCGAGGCGGACGTCTCGCGGTGAAGGGAGAAGTTGCGGGAGGCGGAGGAGGAAGAGGGATCGTGGTTGGCGGAAGAGTCGAAGCTGCGCTGGACGTCGTAGACGAGAAGCGACTCGCCGCGACCCTTCTCGAGTCCGACGGCGAGTAGGCCTGCGAGCGAGCTAGTCAGTGTCAGAAGAGCGCTCAACGGAGAAGTTGGAAGGTCCGCACCTGGCTGGTCGGGGCAGAAAGTGACGATGTTGCACGGCCGGGAGTGCCGGACTGCACGCTCGAAAAGATCAGCCTTCTGTACACTTCTGAGTGCCCAGAAGGACACACCGTTAATCTGCACAGACGGCATCGCCTTTCCTCCTCCTCGACCGTCTCCCTCGTCCATCCGTAGCAACAACACCCTCCCAGTCGTCAGACCCGCTGCGACAAGCGGAGGCGCCGCATGTTTCCGTGGAGCCCATGCGAAGGCACGCAAGCCTGCGAGTTCGGAGACGACGCTCGAGGTGGTGAAGCGTTGAGAACGCTGGCCGGTCGCGGTGCGGGTTGTCTGTGAGTGTCAAGGCGTTGAGTGGGGTCGTCTCGTTGCGACGAGAGGAGTGGCCGGCGCACCTGAGCCTCGTACAGCCTGAGTTCTGCTCCTCCGCCGACAAGAAAGCGATCCGTCCCATCTGGCGCAGCGATGACGCTCCGCCCGCGCGTCGACTGCATGGCGGTGAGATGCTAGCTTGCGAGCGGGAGCAGCAGGAGGAGCAGCAAGGCAAGCGAGTGTAGCGATGTTGTCGACGGAGAGGTGGGGCTCGTTCCGGACAGGGAGGAGGAGATGAAGCGACCCTCACTCTCGGACTGACAGGCTTGACTGACTTAGAGATGGAGTACACTCTCATACATTACCTTAGCTTACTAGTCCGCCCGCCTGCGCCGTGCTGAGGTGACAGCTCCACGTCGGCGCTGGAACTTCGCGAACGACAGCGTGTCGCTCTTTCACTCTCTGACTCGCTCTTCCTTGGTCCTGCTAGAGCGAGACTCGACAGCACAGACTGCTGCAGCCATGCCAGTCCACTCGCGCCCGCGGCACCCGTCGCTCGTCGCCCTCCTCGCAGCCCTCGTCTCGGCACTCCTCGTCGCCTCGTTCGTCCCCTCAGCCAGCGCAGCCTCGCTCCTCGCCATCGACTACGGCACAGACTCGTTCAAAGCGTCCGTCGTCAAGCCCGGCATTCCCTTCGATGTCCTCTTGACCAAGGAGGGCAAGCGGAAGGCCCCTAGCATCGTCACCTTTCGCGGAGAGGAGCGGCTCGTAGGCGGAGATGCGCAGAGCTTGGTGCGTACCGAGTCGACACTCCAAGAGGAGCTGTGCTGACCCGACCGGACTCACCCCACAGGCCACCCGCTTCCCCCAAGACACCCTCTCCTCCGTCAAGCTCCTCCTCGCGCACCCTCCCTCGCACGTCCAGTCCCAGCTGCACTCCTCCCTCTTCTCCATCCCTCAAACAACCACCTCCCGCCACTCTCCCGTCCTCCAAACCTCCAAGCTCTCGGTTCCAGTCGAAGAAGCCCTCGCGTACCAGTTCGTTTACGCAAAGGAGATGGCGGAGGAACAGGCGAAGGAGCCTGTTAGGGAGGCGGTTGTGACTGTTCCGGGCTGGTTTGCGGAGGCGGAGAGGAAGGCCGTGATTGATGCGGCTGAGATTGCGGGACTGAGGGTTGTAGGGCTCGTCAACGATGGGTCTGCAGGTGCGTCCGGACACCCTCAGCGTGTATGGGAACCGAAAGATTCACGCTGGACCGCCCGCAGTCGCCGTCAACTACGCCATGTCGCGCACCTTCCCCCCCGAACCCTCCTACCACCTGATCTACGACCTCGGCTCCGGCTCCCTCCGCGTAACCCTCGTCTCCCTCCGCTCCGCCATGCTTCCCGACCCGCTCTCGCTCGCCGAAACTCCCCAGCTCAAGAACGTCACCTCCATCGAGGTTCACGGGTTCGGGTACGACCTCGATGTGGGCGGATACGTGTTCGATCGCGCGGTCAGGGATTTGTTGGTCGAGGCGTTTGAGGAGACGATGGGGAAGCAGCTGGGGGAGGGGAGGAAGGTCACGGATGATAAGAGGGCTATGGCGAAGTTGTTGAGGGAGGCCGCGCGCGTCAAGCAGGTCTTGAGCGCCAACACTGCTGCGATGGCCCGGGTACGCTTCCCTCTTTCTTCCTTCACTCCTCGTTCGCGGGCACTCATTCTAAGCGCTCCCGCAGATTGAAGGCCTGATCGACGACCTCGACTTCCGCACCGAAATCACCCGCTCGGCACTCGAATCCCGCGCCTCATCTCTCCTCTCTCACCTCGTCTCGCCCATCCAATCCGCCCTAGACTCTGCCTCCCTCCCCCTCTCCTCCATCGAATCCGTCATCCTAGTAGGCGGCTCCTCGCGCATCCCGCTCGTCCAAAAAGCCGTCGCGGACAAAGTTGGCAAAGACAAGATTGCGAAGAATGTGAATGCGGATGAGGCAGCTGTGCTTGGTGCGGCGCTTTATGGAGCGGGAATTACGAGGGGGTTCAGGACGAAGGATATGAGGGTGAGGGATTTGGTGCCGTTTGGGATTGATGTTGCGTATGAGGCGGAGCACAAGGAGGGTGAGTTCGCGCTTGATGCCTCCCCGGTTACTCTTCCTCCGTGCTGATGTCGAGTGAGCGTGCGCAGGCGCCGACTCGCGGATCATCACGACGCACCTCTTCCCCGCCAACTCCGCGACCTCCTCCAAAAAGACCCTAACCCTGCGCAAAACGTCCGACTTCTCACTCGACTTCTCCTACGCCCCCTCTTCTTCCTCCTCCTCGGCCGCAGCACCGTCAGGCCACCTCTTCTCGACCCACTTGAAGGGCATCTCAGCCGCTACTGCGAACCTCACGGCTGAGCAATTGGTCAACGCTACGGTGCGCGTGGGTGTGGAGGTGGATGCGAGTGGGTTGTTGAGGGTCGGAAAGGCGGAACTTGTGTTGCGTGAGGAGGAGGAGGGAGAGGGAGCGAAGAAGGGAGGCGTGACGGACAAGCTCAAGGGGTTGTTCAACAAGTTCTCCTCTTCCTCGGGGAAGAACTCGACTACCTCATCCTCGTCCTCGGCGCCGACCGCCACCCCCGAGGAAGGCCTGACGGACGAGGAGAAGAAGCAGTTGGACGAGATGATTCGTCAAGCGCAGCTTCCGCCGGCTAGGGTTAGGTTGACGGTTGAGACGCAGGGTGGGGAAGGGGCGGCGGGAATGGGGTCGGAGGAGAAGATGGAGTTGAAGAAGCGGTGCGTTCTCGCTTTCTTCTCTCGGTGGAGCTTCTTCCCGCGGGATGACTTTGCTGATAGGTGACGTGCGATAATGGACAGACTCCGCGATGCCAAGACCGCTCTCACGCGCAAACTCGCGCACGAAGAAGCGCGCAACGCCCTCGAATCCTACGTCTACCGCGTCCGCGACCTGCTCGAGAACAACGAGGCGTTCGTCGCTGCGTCGGTTGAGAGCGAGCGCAGGGCTGTCAGGGAGGTGCAGGAACGGACGGCGGAGTGGTTGTGGGATGAGGGGGAAGGGGCCGAGACCAAGGCATTGAAGGAGAAGAAGAGGGAGCTTGAGTGCGTGGCACTACGCATCTGTCAGACAAACGGCTCGCTGACGCATCGCTCGCGCAGGAAACTCGTCAAGCACATCCTCTCCCGTTCGACCGAGGCAGTCGCCCGTCCCGCCGCCGTCTCCTCACTCCGCGACCAACTCGCCAAAACTAGCACCTTCCTCTCGACCGCGCGCGCCGACTCTGCCGCACTCACCAAATCCGACCCCTCCGCTCCTCAACGCTTCACGACCGACGAGCTCGACTCGCTCGACAAGCTCGTCAAGGAGTCGCAGGCGTGGCTCGACGATGCGCTCAAGCGCCAGGAGAAGCTCAAGGCGCATGAGGATCCGGCGTTCAAGGTTGCTGAGGTTGAGAAGAAGCTGAAGGAGGTGGAGAGGGAGACGAGCAGGCTGGAGAAGAAGAAGCAGCCGAGGAGGAAGAAGGCGGTCAAGGCGACTCCGGCGGCGGCGGTGACGGAGGAGGAGGCGCAGGAGAAGCCGAAGCAGGAGCACAAGAAGGACGAGCTGTAGACGCCGACAAGGTAGACGACGAACTCCCTCCTCAAGCATTGCATTCGTTCCATCCCATACAACATCGGCGAGCGAGGTCGCCCTTCGCGTCCGCAGCAGCGAAGGAGCGCGGGAAGGGTGCGGGCGATCTTTGCGTGGCCTGCCTTCTTCTCAGCGGATGCATCGTTCTCGCAGCGTGTCAAGCGGCCAAGGTGAGCAGACGGGTGTCGAGGAGAGCAGTGCTGTAATTTGGCGGCGAGAGGACGGGAAAGCGGACTGCTCGCGAGTTGGATGCTGTCGGTACGTCACTGCTGGTCGATCAAGACACTCCGCAGGCGAGTCTCGACCTCGTCCGGTGTTCGCCCCGACCTTCCTCCGCGAGTCGTGCAACGCGTGCGAGGCGGCGACTGAATGAGCTGGGCAGTGCAGAGCGCAAAGAGTGCAACAGTGCTGCTTATCTCTTGACTACAAAGAATACAACCTTGGGAGGCGAGAGCGAAAGAAGCCAGACCCGCTGCCAGCGTCGACCTCGCCCACCCTCCTCACTCGCGCATCCTCTCGCTCGCACCAGGGACCGCGCAGAACAGCTGGGACTGCACCTCGCTCGAAGCACACACTCGACCCATCCACCCACCTCTCGCCCCGCAGCTCGCCCGTCGACCCGCTTGCTCATCTCAGGCGGACGCCTCTCCCCGTTTCAATGGCCGAGTTTGTCAAGCTTAGCATCTTTGGAACCGTCTTCGAGGTCACAGAGTGCGTACACGAGCTCACTCCACCCGTTAGAGCCCTCGAAAACAGCCTGGAGGGGCGGCGACGGGCGCGCCAGCACCTTCGACCTCCTCCCGGATGGAGCAGCTCGAAACACCTCTTCGCTCGAGCTCGCTGACACCCTGTATTGCATCGTACACCCGCACTGCCTACTCCTCACACACTCGACTCGCTCTCGCCACTCCCCGCCCGCTCCTGCGTCAACGATCCGCCTCGCACCCTCTCCCCGCCCCCGCCGCGCAACTGCTCCCCTTTCCGACTCGTCTCGCCCGCCTACGCTGGTGACTTTTGAACGCAGCCGATATGTCGACTTGCAACCGGTTGGAATGGGAGCGTTTGGATTGGTGTGCTCTGCGAAGGACGAGGTCAGTCTTGCGAACTGCCTACACGAGGACGGGTCCGGCGAGGCGGTGGTTCTCGCTGCCTCGTGCGGGTGTCTCGTTAGGGGTTTCGAGTACTGACACTCTCCTCATCGTGCAGCTGACGGGCCAGATGGTCGCGATCAAGAAGATGTGAGTGTTTGCGGGCGGGAGTCGAGGAGGACTTCTCGGTCGGGAGTGGTAGGAAAGCGTGTTGCTGACGGTTTCATGGCGCGCTTTCCTCTTGCTCGCTTTCAGCATGAAGCCGTTCAGTGCGTCTGGCCCGTTCTTTCCAGAGACGAGGTCGTAAGCTGACGTTGCTCTCCGCCTTCCCCGCTTCCCTCGCTCTCTCCTCCGTCCCGCCCTCTCACACGCCTCGCCCGCGCCACTCACAGGCACTCCGGTCCTCGCCAAGCGTACCTACCGCGAACTCAAACTCCTCAAACACATCCAGCACGAAAACATCATCTCGCTCTCCGACATCTTCATCTCGCCCCTCGAGGACATCTACTTCGTCACCGAGCTCCTCGGGACCGACTTGCATCGGCTCTTGACGAGTCGTCCGCTTGAGAAGCAGTTCATCCAGTACTTTTTGTACCAGATCCTGGTCAGTCCCGCTTCCTCTAGCTGCAAGCATCTTCCCTCCGGGGGCTGCTGACATCGACACGGGGGAGCCGTGACTGACTCGCTCTCACACCTCACAGCGCGGCTTGAAGTACGTCCACTCAGCCGGCGTCGTCCACCGGGATCTCAAGCCGTCCAACATCCTCGTCAACGAGAACTGCGACCTCAAGATCTGCGACTTTGGACTCGCGCGTCTCGCCGACCCGCAGATGACGGGTTACGTCTCGACGAGGTACTACCGCGCGCCGGAGATTATGCTCACTTGGCAGAAGTACGATGTGGCGGGTGAGTCGCGCGCGAGTTCGCTCTCGATACTTGGCGTGGTGTGAAGGCTGCTTGACCCGCACTGGCGCCTAGCTGGTCGTCAGCGATTGCTCGCTGACACTCCCTACTTCCGCTCGCGCAGTCGACATCTGGTCGGCAGGGTGCATCTTTGCCGAGATGATCGAGGGACGGCCACTCTTCCCCGGCAAGGACCACGTCAACCAATTCTCCATCATCACCGAACTCCTCGGCACCCCTCCCGAGGACGTCATCCAGACCATCTGCTCGGAGAACGTGCGTCCCCCTTCCCTTCCCTTTCCTCCCCCTCCCCTCGCGCAAACTGACGAAGCTCGTGCGTCGAACAGACTCTCCGGTTCGTCCAGAGCCTCCCGAAACGCGAGCGCGTCCCGTTCGCGCAAAAGTTCCGCGGCGCAGACCCCCAGGCGCTCGACCTCCTCGAAAAGATGCTCGTGTTCGACCCGCGCAAGAGGATCGATGCGGCGCAGGCGCTTGCGCATGAGTACTTGGCACCGTACCATGGTGTGTCGCGTCTGAGTCTATGAGCTGGTCAAGAGCTTGTGAGAGACTGACAAGGTGTGATGGGGCACAGACCCGACGGACGAGCCGGTCGCGCCTGAACCGTTCGACTGGTCGTTCAACGATGCCGACTTGCCCGTCGACACCTGGAAGGGTGCGTCCTGCTCCCTACTCACCATCCTTCTCGCCTCTCTAGCGACAGCTGCTGATGGATTGGACTCATCCCCGCGCGCACAGTCATGATGTACAGCGAGATCCTCGACTTCCACCACATCGACTCGGAGGAGACGTCCGGACCCGTCGCCGCGCCTACCGCCTAAAGACCCTCTGCCTCTCTCGCCTCCCATCGACTCCGGCTCGCCTCGCACGTGCTCTCCTGACTTGTAGATACCTGAGTTCCCTCCCTCTTCTCCCTTCCCTCGTCCTCTCGTCGCGTCTGTAAGATGAAAAGAAAGTCCTTTTACACGGTCCACCTTGCGTTGCAACTCGCTCGTTCTGGGAGGCGTCTCGCTGAGGGATCGTGAGGAGATGGCAATGCAGGTAATAAGGTCGTCGCTGGTCGTACAACACCGTGAGAGAGTCTAGCCACTACTATGTCTTTTGAGTCGTTCGTTCCGCTCGCGTCCCGCTCTAAACGCTCGCCGTCGTCGTCCCCGAAGGCGTCTCGTCCCTCTTCCTCACATCCATCTCAACCGCCACATGCCCTCTCTCGTCCTCCTCCTCCTCCTCAACGCGGGACATAGTCCCCAAGGCCCCAGCGGCACCCGGCCTCCCATAACTCTCGCTCTCCAACTCATCGCTCGTCAATCCCGCCACGCTCACGCGGCGTGCATCAACCTGCCGGCCATGTAGACCGATCACGTTTGCGAGACGGGAGGAGGAGGAGAGGAGGTGCCGGATTGAGTTGAGGGTGAGGAAGGTGAGGGAGCAGTCGACGCCTGTTAGGTACATCCATGGGACTGGAATGGCAGGGTTGTTAGTGGTGGAGCACAAGGGAGGGAAGGGAGGGAGGACGAACCGAGGTAGAAGGAGACTTCCATTGTGCGCCAGGAGGAGTAGACCGATGAGGGTGAGATTGCGAGCCAGAGCGCCAAGGCGAGGAAGACGGTCGCCATGACGACGATGGCGGCGAGGAACTGCGCAGACGATGCCCGGTCAGTACAGCGCGAGAAAGCAGGAGACGAAGTTACCAACGCACGACAATCAAGTCCCACTCGACCTTCTTCAGCGCCAGCAACTGCTTTGCCTGCTGCCTTGTAGCCGCACCCGCCTGTGTCGTATTCTCCGCCGCCTCCTTCAGTTGACCAACCGAGATGTGGTTCCTCCCTCTCGAAGCGGTGGTATCGGACGAGTTGTCCTTCTCCTTCGCCTGGCCAGCAAAGAAGACGTGGCGGAGAAGAGTCGTCTTGGGCGGTGTTTGGTCGCCGTTGACGCGCGGGGAGAGGGGATGAGGCGGGTCGGAGAGCAGGGCGGTGGAAGGGGGAACGAGGGCAGGCGAAGCGAGAGGAGTCCCGATGGACGAGCCGGCGCCTGTTGCACTTGACGCGTGAGCAGGGTGACTGCTTGTGCGGATCTGTGACGAGAGGCGGCGGCTGTTAAACCTGTTTGCGGAGAAGGGTCAGCGATTAGTGCGACGAGACGAACAGTTGAAGACGTACTTGATCTGCCGTCGCAGCGTGAAGAGTAAGCCGAGTCCGCCGAGGTTGACGCCAATGATGATGAGCATTGTGAAGACGTAGAGAGCGTGGACAGCCTGGAGCATGCTGTTTCCGGTTCGAACAAGTCAGGCTCGGATCGACCGCCGCTGCTGTCGAGACGGAGACGCACTGGACGAAGAACTGTAGCTTGTCGGCAACCTTGTTGAACTGAACGGCGATCGCAGCCTCAGCCGCTTGTGCCGAGTCGCTCGGTCGCGCTTGACCGAGCGATGTGAGGGTTGTCCGCAAGATCATGCCCGCGTCCCACGTCTTTCTCCATGCGAACGCGGTGTAGACGTCGAGGACAATGACGGGGATGAGGACGAGGAAGCCGGCGATGTACAGGCCGTTGGCGAGTTTTGGCGAGAGGATGTGTGTCTTCGTCGCCTTTTGCGAGGAGAGGATCGCCGCCTGGAGGTTCGACCATGAAGAAATCCAGGCGTGTACGATGAGGGGGATCCTGCGACGCTCGATGCTGTCAGGTCGATGTTCGCTCAATGCCGAGTCGCGCGACGCACCAGACGAGCGAACGCCAGAAGTATGCGCGGGATTGGAATCGCTGTAGCAGCGCTACGCGACGAAAGTTGTTGTTGTAGCCGAGTAGGACGGCGCAGCTCGCAAGGGAGAAGAAGGCGAAGAGGGCGTGTTGGCTGTTGATGCGGGACGCAAGCGAGACGAAGTCAGCTTCCGCCTCAACATGCATCTCCTACAGTACGCCGGCGTCCCCTTCACTCACTTTCCGACGATGTACCGCCCGTTCGACCGGCTGACGAGACGCCAAAGCCAGAAACGCTTCTCCCGCCGTCGATACTCGACCGCCATCAAGCACAGGTATACGATCGCCATGACGATACCACTGCAGTGACAACCTCAAATCAGTATGCGTGCACTGTAACGACAAGGAGCGAACCGCAAACTCACTAGCCCATCAGCGCCCATAGGACGTACAGCCGAGCGTCGAAACCTGGCGTCGGCATCGGATTGAAGAGGTAGTGTAGGTAGCGCTCGATGTAGAGGTAGGGATTGATACCTTCCGGCACCGGCGGAAGCTGCAGGCGAACCATGGTGTCGTCCTAGGCGCGCGAAAGGGTGGCAGAGGGAAGTTGAGCGAGCTGCAACCGCCTCGGCTTTGCTCCGCCGATGTTGTGGGACCGCGTGCGCGTGCGTGCGGGTTGTTGGGCGAGCTGGAAACCTAGTCAGGTGCACTCGAGGCAGAGTGAAGCGCTGTGAGTGAAGCGGAAGCGCAACAAAGCCAAGCGGATCCACGCCTGGCAACGTCGGACACCGCGCGCCCTTCAAGCCGCAGCGGATCGCCCTACTCGGAAGTCAATCTCGCCTTCCGAAGACGGCGCAGTAGCAACGCTTGTCGACTACAGCAGCACGTTCGCCTCTCCCCACCACGTCCAGCTCGACCGCATCCCCACCGCTGTTCCCGCCTCGCCCTCGTACTGCGCGCGGCACGCTGGCATCGTCCAGCAGAAGTCAGAGCATGAGGCGATCACGGCGTCGAGCAGAGCACTGGGAAGCGAGCGAGGAGCCGAGAGAGCGTCGACCGCCTCGGGGTCGTCCGGCAGCAGCAAGAGCAGGAGTAGTGAGAAGCGCATGCCACAAAGCTGTGCCATAGAGCAGAGCAGAGGAGCTGGAAAGAGAGAGCAGGGGTTCGAGCGGAACAGGGGACGAAGCGATCGGCCGCCCGCCGGTTCTCGAAGGCAGCTTCTCCTCGTCCAGCTCATGCTGCCACGGCTGGCGAACCCGTACAGCGGCCAGACCGACTTTGCGCAGCTCGCACGAGATGTCCCATCCTTTGCTGCGTTGTTCGTCGCTCTGCTCGCGCTTCCTCTCCACGTCAAGCGGATCCTGATTCTGTTGCTCTCGCGCCACTCTAGCTTGCAGGATGGTCACTCTGGACGGTTGACGATTGACTTTCAGGATGATGCGGCTGTCCGGTGCGCTTCGTTCCCCTTTTACTGAGTGTCTGCTTGCAGTTTGACCCGTTCCATCCCCTCTTCACAGTGCCTTGACAGCAGCACTGCTCGAGCGAGACTTTCGCCTGCGCATAGAGCTTCCTTCTGACCGTCTCTGTCCTACGGCAAGTCCTCCTGGCATCCCGCGTGAAGCTTGTTGACGCTGACCTTTCTGACCTTACGACAGATTCCGAGCCGGTGCGCTCGCCCCGTCATCAGTGACATTCTCCTCACTCACTGAATGTCGCACAGCCTCGAATACCTCCTCTTCGTCCTGCGCCTCGCGCTCCTCACCTCCGAGGAGCCCTTGCCCAGCACTCTCACCGGTCTCGACATGCAAGTACCCCCGTGCCTCCCTTTCTCCTGCCTGGCGCGCTGACAGCCTTGACCCACAGCGGCACGGGAGCCTCAGCGATCTACCCTCTCCTCGCCATCCGCACCGCCAAATCTGCCTCGTCCTCCTCGACTTCCCCGTTTCCTCCACTCAAGATGCTCGCGACTGACATCAACGATCACTCGCTCGACTTTGCCAAGCGCAACGTCGTTGCGAACGATCTGACGGAAGCGGTACAGCTCTTCAAGGTTGACGCGGAAGGGGCGACCTTCCCGGAGGAAGTGGTGAATGCGGTCGAGCAGTGCGTCTTCCGCCGCCACACTGGGGATTTCCACTGACGCGAAGAGAAACACAGGATCGACTTCACGATGTGCAACCCGCCCTTCTACGACTCGCACGAAGAAATCGCCGCATCGCTCGCCAAAAAGGAACTCGAGCCATTCTCTGTGCGCCTTATCGTGCTGCTTCCTGCAGCAGTCATACTGACGCAACGTTGAGTGTTGCAGAAATGCACGGGCGCGGATAACGAGATGGTCACGCCAGGAGGGGAAGTGGCGTTCGTCTCGCGCATGGTGGAAGAGTCACTCGTCCTCGGGAAGCAGAAGATCCGGTGCGTAGCCTTCCTCTCGCTTCGTCCCCCTGCGGCGGCTGATGTCGTGCCCGGCAGATGGTTCACATCGCTACTTGGCAAGTACTCCAGCATCTCGCCGCTCGTCGACTTGCTCAAATCGAAGAAGGCGAGTCCGCGCCCCCTTCCCTCCTTTCGCTCTCGCTCATGAGAGTGCAACAGATTCGGAACTACCACGTCCACGCCCTCCCGCCGCACGGGTACACGATTCGCTGGGTCCTGAGCTGGTCGCTGCAAGACAAGCGCTTTCCTCTCGTGTGTCCCAGCGTCCTCCAGACTGCGCACTCACGCATCTAACCTTTCCTTTGCTGTAGGACTCGGTCGGTGACCCAGATGCGCCCTCGACACCGACATCAGCCCCCTCATTTCCTCTCACGCGCTTCCTCTCCCCCGCAACTCTCCCAGCAACATACTTCACTCCTCCTTTTCCCTCCTCTTTCTCCTCCCGAGATCCTCTCGAGCACGTCCGAGAGACGCTCGATGAGGTCTTGCGGGAATTGGTGGGTGAGCCTATTGGCGCGAGTGCGGAGGAACAGGGAGGAAGGAGGAAGAGGCGGCGCGTCGTGCGGTCTCACGAAGGGGGAAGCGTGGTGAGTGGGTTGGAGTGGCGGTGGAGCGAAACGGCGGGGGAAAGCGAGGGGGAGGAGGCGGAAGAGAGGGAGGTTTGGATCAAGGCTTGGAGGAACGTTTGGTCGCGTAAGGCTCGGCGCGCGAGTACACACGCGCCTAGCACGACGGCGGGAGAAGATGGTTCGACGACGACTAGTCCGCTACTCGAGCTACGAATCAGCCTCGAGGTCGTCTCTTCCTCCTCCGCCTCTCCTTCTGCCTCGCCGCCTCCTCCGCGTCCAGTCTCACAAACAAAGCCACAACCACAAGCGAAGCTCACCCTCACCTGGTACCGCGGCTTTGACGCCGAGTACCCTTCGCTCACGGGGTTCTGGGGATACTTGACGCGTAAAGTGGGCGAGCGGGTTAAGGCACTCGGCGGCGGGACGGAGAGGGAGGCGGAGGAGGCGGGAGAAGGCAAGGGGAGGAAGCGCAGGAGAGATGAGGGGGGCGAGAAGGCGGGCGAGGTGGAGCCAAGTTGAGTAGTGGTAGGATGGGTGTGACGAGTGATGCATTGCGAGTGTTTTGACAACATAACATGGTTCTTGAGTGACATGACATTTCCGGATAAAAGGATCCGCTGCGCGAGGGTATACGGGAGAGTGGGAGCGCGAGGAGGAGGAGGAGGAGGAGGAGAGAGGGCGGGTCATGCTGGGATAGAGGGGATGCCGATCATCTCGCCTGCGATCGCCACCGCGAAATTGATCTCATCAGCACTGCTTCCCTCCCGAGAGAGAAGAGAGAAGAGAGAACGCCCGCCGTTCGACGCACCGGAGAACGTCACCCTGGACTTGCTCATCCCCCTGCCCCCAACCTTCGGACACGGTTCGCTCTCTACACTGACCTCACAAACATCGTACGGATGCGGCGCCATGATGACGTTGATGTTCCTCCAGACGAACAGGCAGACGTTTTCGAGTGTCGAGGGACGCGAGAGGAAGAAGGAGAGGTCGTTGTCGAGGTGTTTGAATGAGAGGACTTCGTGGATCGCCATGTGCATGATGTCCTCGAGCAGACCGTTGCCGTAGACTTGGCCGCTGTTGCACGCAAACCCGTCAGCCCTCCTTGTCCACCATCTCAACCTTGACGAGGACTCGTCGACTCACGTCGCCTTACACAACGGCCCTCGAAACTTGACTTCAAACTCGTACGTATGCCCATGCACGCCCATCGCCAACGCTCCATACCTCCCCGCATTCTGTTGTTCCGTCAAGGCTTTCGAATACAGTCGGTGTACGGCTTGCACTGCTCCCTCCTTTCTGGGGTCAGTTTGAGGAATCGAGGGAGGGGAAGGAGGGACGCACCCGAGGCTCTGTGGACTAGGGTTACGAGAGGGGCTTGGTCTTCTGGTGCGGAGGATGAGGGACCGAGAGCAGTGGGTGTTGACGGGCCGTGTTGAGCGGCGGGAGGGACGGAGAAGGAGGCGGGAAGGGAGTCGGTGTCGACTTGCATAGCTGGGGGATGGGTCGGCCGCGAAGGGATGGGATGGGCGCTGGAGCGATGAGGAGGAGGTGGGGAAGAGAGAGGGTTGGAGGGACTGGGCGGGCGAGCGGCGACTCTGGCAAGTGCAGCGTGCGTCGAACTGAGCTGTCAAAGATTTCGCGAGCCGGAGGAGCTGCGAGCGACGAAGGGAGCAAGGAGGAGAAGCCGAACTCGCAAATCTCCGCCTCGCAGGGCCAAAGCGAGAGGTACAGTATCGGGTCATATTACGGCTGTGACAGCGTTTCAAGAGATAGCAACAGATACATACAGACGTGGGTATCTCCCCCTCCTCCCTCTCCTCCTCCTCCCTCTCCCCTCCGTCCTCGATCCTCGCACTACTGCTCCCCCGCGTACAAACACACCACCGTCCCAACTCCCATCCCAACACCAACAACCCCCCAAACCCCCTCCACAGCACCTTCGAAACTCCACCTTCCTCCCGCAAGTCCATGCGCTCCAACTCCGTTGGCCACTTCAGAGAGGATATGGGAGAGGTTTCGAATTGCGGTGGAGGGGGAGGGGGAGTGGTGGGAAGAGGAAGGGAGGATGTAGCCCCGCAGGAGGGCGATAGAGAGGCGTGTGAGGGTGAAGATTAGGGCGTTGGGAGGGGCGATTGAGCGCTTTTGGGGGCGGCGGCGACCACGGGTAGGAGTGTGCGAGGGGAACGAGATGAGCGTCGAGAGAGCGAGGGGGAGGAGGTAGGTCGTCAGAGCCCAGAGGGAGAGGGCGGAGAGGAAGGTCGGGTGGTAGAGGACTGAGAGGACGGGGAGGCGGAAGGAGAGTGAGCGAGTTGGGTGGGCGCGGTGCAGCCAGTGCAGCGGGCCCGTGTGCTGAGTGCGGGAGGTCTGAGGCGTCAGATGGAGCCGTGGACGGAGAGAAAGCGCGAGCGCACCTTGTCAGCCCAGGGAATCGCCTCGTACACGATCCACGCCAACTCGGCGACCAAAATCCCCATCACCACCACCCACGCGTGACTCGCGCGTTCCTGCACCGTCTCAACAAACCCTACCGCTTCCTCCGCCGCATGATGGAGACTGACGGACCCGCGACGGAGGGACTGGCTCGCGCGTTTGCGGAGCGAGCGGGTCGCCGGGACGACGGCGAGGTCTTTCGTGGGAGATGTCGAATCTCCGTGAAGGAGGGTATCGAGGATGTGCTTGTTGAGGATCGCTTGGCGGTACGTCGATTCTTCGCGTTCGCGATCTGCGCCGTCCTCGCCCGAGAGGACCTCCTGCACGCCCTCCACCACACGCTCGACAGCCTTCTTCGCACTCTCCACCATCAGGCCTACGCCCACTCCACTCCCACTGCCCTCACTGTCCGTCGACGTCGCCCGCCCGAGGGCCTTACTCTCGCGCATACTGTGCCACAGTCCCTCGAAGCGCGGGTCCGAGCGAGCAGCGGGGTTCGTCTTGAGTTCGTGGCGGATCAAGTCGACCAGGTCGGATTTGGTGTAGGGGCGGTTTTGGGGGAGTTGGGAGGAGAGCGAGAGGGAGAGGACGATCGAGTGTAGGTCGTCCTGCCGGGAGAGTCACGGGTGTGAGCTTACGGAGTGTGGAGTGAGTGGGAATGGAGTGCACACTTTGCGCTTGATCTGGAGAGGGCCTGTGAGCGGGTGGGAAAGCGGAGTCCGGGCAAGTGAGGTCAGAGACGGGGGAGCGAGTGGGAGGCGGCAGCTTGGCGGGTGGGTGAGTGAGTTGCGCACCCGAGTAGATAGTCATGGTGAGCCTGCGAGTTCGAGGTCTCCGCGTATGAGCAAGTCGAGGCGAAGTGTTGTTTGTTCGAAGAGAGAGGAGGCCGACTGATGAGATGGCTGGATTACAAGTTGAATACAACTCGAGTTTGTACAGTGGAATGCAAAATGGTTGCAGCCAAGGTGTTTCGCGATGAGTTTTGGCGCGTGGTCTCGCTCGTCGAGGGCGCACTATGGGGGTTCACCGAGGTGCAGGCTAACTCGCAGCAGCTTAACAGGCCGGTCTAGCGTCCCCGCCGCTGTCCTGGAGCGGTGAGAGAGCGGGAAGCGGCAGAGGCGGTGCCCCTCGATGCGTTCCACAGCTCTCTGACGAGCTCGTACGGCTTCGTGCTCGCGGCTAGCCTAATGAAACCGGTCCTTCTGACGCGCCCTGTATCGTCAGATCAGCCTGGGAGGAGGTGTGGGAGGAGCGACCTCGGACGAAATTCGCGCGCGAAAGTGACTCTCGCTGCAACCATTTTGCATTCCACTGTAATGCAACTGAATACAACACTCGCCGAGGTGGGGCGACGCTCGGCGTTCATCCTCGTCCTCGACTGCGCACCGCTCTCTCGCTCTTGCTTATCGAACAGCCTACAACTCAAAGCTACTCACTCTCATTCACATACACCAGCCCACCGACCTCACCTTCAACGTTCACCCGCTCCCATCTCTCAACCTCCTCCCGATGAAGCGCCTCTTCAACAAATCCAAACGCACAGCCTCCTCCCCCTCCACCGAGACTCCCTCTCCCTCACACACCCCTCCCTCACATCCCGCAACGCCCACTCCTCCTCTCGCACCCGCCCACTCGAGACCCGCGCCAACACCCCCTCCTCATCCGCAGCAGGTCTACGAGCAAGGCGGACAGCAGTATGTGCTTGTGCCCGTACCCGTCGGACAGTGGCAGGCTCAGCAGGGAGGGTGCGGACGAGCAGGAGGAGGAGGAGGGGTGCCGAGGCCTCCTAGCGTGAGGGACGTAGGGAACGCGATTGGTGAGTGCTTGCGTCTGCTCAATGGGTCTGTCGTCCCTGCGCACGACGGACGAGGTGTCCTGAACAGAAGAGGCGATCGCTCACTCCCTTTCCGTTTGATCGTCTCGCAGGCTGGTCCTGCGCCATGCCCTCGTTCGACTGGTCCTACATCCTTTCCCTTGCGGAATACCTCTCCTCCAGCTCAAGCGCGAGCAAAGATGCCGCCAAGGCGCTCGTGAAGGAGTTCAAGGTGCGTTCTACTGCTGCTCTTTCGATTCGGGTCTCTCTCGCAGGTGTGCAGAGAAGGGATGCGCGCTAAGTGGAGGGATTCGTATAGCACGCCACGCCGAATGCGCAGGAAAGAGCGGTACGATTAACGGGCATCCTCTTCCGCAACACGAACGAGCGGTTCCAAGGTGCGTCCCCCGCTCTGGCTCTCCTTCTCCTCCGGCTCTCCGGGCAGGGACTGATTTCACCAGCGCTGCATGGTCGCACAGAACAAGTCGCCTCGAAAAAGTTTCTCACCGCCTTAACCGCCCTCCTCTCCTCCCCCTCCACTCCTCCCGCCACCAAACGCATGATCTACCTCACCCTCTCACCGCTCGCCTACGACGCGCAATCCTCTCCCTCCTTATCGAACATCACCAAGACTTTCAACGCATTGTTGGAGGACTCGAAGACGGGATTGAGGAGCTTTGACAACGAGTTTGAGGAGACGGATCCGAGGTGGCAGCCTAACGGGGCGCCGGTGGATGCGGACGACCCGTTGTTTGCGCCTGAAGCGCTTCCTCGAAGGAGGGAAAGGGCGCGCATGTTTGATGGGATCGAACAGATGAGGGACCTTCGACGCCGTGCGGTTGAGGGCAGGGGGTGGGCGGGGATGTTGTGTGATGCGGTTGCGAATGCGCGTGATGAAGCGGGAGTGGGAGCGGGGAAGAGGTGGGAGGAGATGAGCGGTGAGGAGAAGGAGGCTGAGCAGGCGAGACTCGAGGGGGAAGAGGGGCAGGGGGAGAGCGAGCGCAGGGACGGGTTGGAGGCGAATGAGGTCGTGCAGGTGCGTTCCTCCGCGAGCACTTCCATTGCGTTCCCCGCACGACCACTGCCGTCAGAAGCCGCTCAATGGGAAGGCCTCCGGAGGAACTGACTCCTTTGCCTCGCTCGCTTGCAGGAAATCCACGCAAAGCTCCTCGAAACCCAAGAATTCCTCACCTCAAACCTCGACTGGGCCGCCGTCCAAGCCTCTCACTCGCGCGCCAAACTCCCCTCTTCCCCTCAACCTCCCGCGGGACTGGCGAGTAATAATCCGTTTGCGGCAGTTGTGGAGGGGAGGAGGGAGGGAGAGGGGAGTACGGAGGAAGAGGAGATTCTGGCAGAGTTGTTGAGTGCTACGACCGAGGTGCGTCTCGCTGTCTACTTCACCTCGCGCACGCATGAGCACGAGCCCGAGCTGATGCTTGTTCGAGCCCGTTGCACAGATCTCGGACGCCCTCGCACTCTACGCCTCACGCCTCTCCCACTCCCGCACCCAAGCCCGGGAACAAGCAGACCTCCTCGCGGCTGTCGAGCGCTCGAAGGCCGAGAATCATGTCGATCGCTTCGGGCATGAGGTGGAGAGGAGTAGGGATTACGGAGAGGGTGGGAGTGGGCCGAGGGAAGAGGGGTATGAGAGTGTGGCGAGGGAGGGAAAGGGGAAGGGAAGGGAGGGGGAGAGTCTGAACCCTTACGCCGGGTACCTCGTCGATGGCGCGAACGATCAGGCGCATTCGCAGACAAACGTATCGCCCTACGACGGCCTCGATGCTCTTGAAGGCCTGTCCCTCTCTTCTCCCTCTCGCCAACCAACCTCGTACGCTCCGCCACAGGCCAGCTCAGCGACCTTCCACCGCCGCTCCTTCTCACCTACAAACCCCTACGCTTCCTTCGCGCAGCCCGCTCCCGCTCCCGAAACGCCCTTCGCTTCGCATCCGAACATCACGAGCGGAGGAGCTGCGCCCGACCCATTCGCGGACGCTGACGGCGCGGGACAGACCGAGTCGGCTTTTTTGAGGGAATACGTGCCGAGTCAGCCGAGTGAGAAGGCGTTGGGAAAGTTGAGGAGGGTTAGTGTCGGACAGAGTGCGTTCGGATTTCGTCTTCGGCTTGCTTCGCCCTTTCTCGCGATGGATGCTGATCGATGGATACGTCGAATTTGCAGACGCCGAGCCGGACCGAGTCGACCAGCAACGCCGACTCGAGGAGGCGCTGAGGGAGAGGTACGCGCGAAACTACCAGGAGGAGCAGGAGAGGCGGACGAACGGCGCTGAACACGCGCAGTGAGCGGCAGAGCGAGTGGTCTCTCGCGGGCCATGTAACACTTGATTGGCCTTTTCTCGCGCAGAAGATTGACGAGGTATGATGCGGGTTGCGAGTAGTATGACAACAATGGACAGACGGAAAGCGGCTTCTATACAGCTCCGTCTACGGTCTCCGCCCTATCGCCTCGAGGCCCACCTCATCCTCCTCCCACGGCCTCGCATACGCACTCATCCACACGCCCCTCTTCTCGCACGCCGCGCGTACCTTCTCCCGCATCTCCCTCACCTCGCGCTCCTTCTTTCCCCTCGGCAAGACGTCGCCCATCTGGACGTCCGGGTTCAATCGGCGCTCGTCTGCGACGTCGAGAACTTTGAGGTCTGGCAACCAGCGGGGGATGGCGAGGGCGAACAGGAGGGCTGGGTAGGATTCGCCGAGGTAGAAGGAGAGGGTGAGGCGGGTAATCGACTTGGGCAATTGAGCAAGGACAGTCGACACGGTATTGAACGACTTGAACTCGTCCCCAAGCGCGCCGAGCTTGCCCAAGAACGAGCCGTCCGTCAACGATTCGATCGAGATGTCCAGCTCGTCTTTGACGAGCTTGAGGTCGTCCCATTGTATGCTCCGGTCCTTGCGCAGCTCGAGCGTGCGAAGGTGTGACGTTGCGGTAGCCATCGTCTCGACTGCGATTTGCGGGCGCGAATAGGCGATGCCGAGGTGGCGCAGGAGAGGGAAGTCGGAAAGGTCGATAGCGTGTTCCCGGATAGCGATGTGGAGCGAGGTGAGCGTCGTGCAGGACGTCTTGGTGAGGTGCTTGAAGATCTTGGGCGAGAAGACAGTCTCGAGCCGGCGGTACTGAAGGCTGAAAGTCGGTTCCCAGAAGTACCGGCCCGTCTCGCGGTCGACCGGGTCGGAAACGTCCGAAAAGGAACCTGCCGTGGCGCGCAAAGGCAAGGCGCAGCCGTTTCAAACTCGACATGGGCGCGATGCCGTCGAAGACGCCTGGTGCCGCTCGGACGTAGCTGCCGAGTACGGTGAGATCTTGGACAGGAAGGGTGTGACGGTGCTGGACTAACGGTTGGAACAGCCTGAAGGAGAGAGGCGCCTGCGAGGCATCCTCGTCTTCCGGAGTAGGCGTCTCGCCAGTCTTGGCGGGGACGTGCGCGTGGAACTTGACGACGTCGACCTTGGGCAGGACGCGGGAGACCCGCTCAACCGCCTTGGCGAGCGAGCCATACCCGTGCTGGCCAAAGACATGCAGCTCCTTGACGAGTGGCTGGAGATGTTTGTGCCGCTCGAGTGACAGGCACATCCGCTTTGCCATTCTGTCGAGCACTTCGCCCGAGTCGTACGACGTCCTCCAGATCAGGCCTTTCGGCCAAGCCTTGAACTCCTCGTCATCCCACGGCACGGGCTTTTCGAGCACTCGCAAGTGCGCACCCATCGCTTTGCGCTCGGCGATGACTGTCGGGTCCAGCTGGTTGACGATCACGCGATACAGGATGGGTCGTGCCGTTTCGAGACAGGTCTTGGAGACGAGGCAGCATTTCGCGACCGTCTTCAGTTCGCTCTTCGTAGTCGGGTCGAGGAAGCGGATGATGCGGTCGACGATGGGCTGGTCGAGCGTCGGGAGCGGACGAGACGGTACTCGAGGAGCGACAGTCCTCCCTTTCCCGCCTTTCTTCGCCATGGTCGACCTGTAGGATGCTGGCAGCGCCTGAGGGGACAAGGGTCAGCAAGACGCGCTCCTTCGACTGTTTGAACGTACGTACAGGTGCTCCAATCAATCTTCAGCTGCTCCTGCACTTCGCACGCTCCCAGCACGTCCGAGCTGAGGCGAGAACTCGTCGAGAACTGCTCGTGAACGATGAGGAGGTCGAAGCGAGTTTGCCGCTCGAGCGTCGCACAGGGCGGATTGGTCACGAGCTCGAAAGCTTAAAGGAGCTTCTCCAAATCCCTCAGCAAGCGCTCCAGCCAACAGAGCGAGACGAGCGGTGAGGACAGCCGCGAACTCGCCCGTTCCCCTCCCTTGACCTCCTCCACCTCACTGGCAGACTTTTCGCACCGTCCTGCTTCGCTTTTCGACGATCGCTGTCTGCACGCACGACTTCGCAACATGGTCCCACCGCTCCCCCGCTCCCTCCTCGCCGGCATCGTCCAGTGCTTCGACCCGCTCGACATGCACGGCTTTCGCGACCTCCGCACCTTGACGACCGTATCCAAGGCCTTCAAAGCCGTCGCACAGCCTCACTTGCTCTCGGTCGTTCCGGTGCACAACCCTCAGGACAGCGGGATCGGCCGCCTCCTGACCCTCCTGCGACTTCTCCAGACACCGTCTGGCGAAGATGAGCCTACGACGGCAACGGCGTCGAAGAAAGGAGGGAAGGCCGGGGTCAAGGGGAAGAAGGCTGGCGCGAAGGCGAAGGGAGCGAAGGGAGGTCCAAAGGTGGCTGCGAAGAGCGTCGAATGGGTCGACTCGGAACCGGAGGACCACTTCATCCACGAGGAAGGCGAAGGGCCCGCCGGCAAGGCTCTCGATCCCCGCACGAAGCGCCTTCTCGCCGTCCTTGCCAAAGCTCCTGCCCTCGCCGCCTACCCGACGCAGCTCAACTTCTACGGTGTCTTCGAAGGCGGCGCTACCCCCCGCGCTGTCCACCGCGTACTCGCTCTTTGCCCCAACATCCAATCGATCAAGCTCGTGCAGCATGCCAGCGGCGACTCGGACGACGAGCGCGGAAGGTGGCCTTTGCTCGTTCTGCAGACCATCGCGGCGGAGCGGCCTCGCCTTCATTCGCTGATCATCCGCGGCGCACGCATCGCCAACTCGGAGGCCGTTCTCCATGCTCTCTCCGGCATGACGGCCCTCAAGGAGCTCGAAGTCGAGTTTGCCAACGACGATTACCTCCACGAATGGGATCGCTCGTGGAACCGCCACAACTTCGACTTTGAGCTTGAGCGCCTCGTCCTCAGCACCCCTGCGACCACCGAGTTGTTCGGCGACTTGACGCGCACGTCTCGCTCGACCCTTCGCACCGTCGGCATCGCCCTCTTGCGCGACGAGTACGACCTTTCCGGATTCACCAAGCTCGAGCGGGTCATCATTACCGCTTGTCAGTACGGCGTCGTTGTGGCGACGCTCCCCTCTCTCCCGAAGAGCGTCACCTATCTCGAGATCCGCGAGTCGACGTCGATTGGCTGGCTGGACGGTCGGATGAGGAAATACGAGAGCGAGGACGAGTGGTCGGACGAGCTCGACGCGGACGAGGTGGAAGAGCTGGACGAGTGGGAGCGCGACGAGTACGAAGAGAGGTGGGAGGAGCGCAGGGCGGACAGGGACCAGAAGGAGATCGACAACTGGTTCTCGAGCATGCTGTCCAGCATCCCGCGGCACATCAAGCACCTTCGCCTGCCCCAGTTCCTCGACGATGACGAGTTCAAGGAGGTCCTCGGCTGGCTCGCTGCTCCGTCCTTCCTCCCAAACCTGCGCATCTTCGAGGTAACCGACCCGCTCAAGGACCGCAACCTCGATGAGGAGGATCTGGAGGAAGGGGAGATGGACAAGATGCGGATGCAGCGTAAGAAGCTGGCCGACATCTGCGCCAAAAGGGGCGTCCTGCTCGGGCCGTGGGACGAGGATCTGGAGCAGGTGTGGAACGACGAGGGAAGGTCCCGCGGGCTCTCTAGTTGGACGCTGGGGCGGAGAACGCTTGTAGCCTATCTGCATTTGAGCTTGTTGGTATAGCTGGATTGGCAAGTGTGAAGGAAGATCTGAAGAAAGTGAGCGGGTCGAGGAGTATGAAGGCGAACGCAGGCAAGGCAGGGGTGCGACGACTCGAACAGCGAGGTACCAGAGTGCGTTTCGACGCATAGCTGAGCCGTACAAAGCGCTTCGCTTCTTTGCAGTGAGCTGTCCAGGTTCGAGGCGGAGGTCGCGCTCCTTCTCCTCCGCCCACCACCTCGCAACAGTAAGTCTGCCCTCAAGGAGCCTGGTGCTGCCGCGCAGTACCTCTGGATTGCGCCCAAGCACCCCAAGTGGCCCGCGCTGACTTGTACGCCTCTCCACCACCCCTCGTAACCTCATCAGCACATCGCCTCGATTCGCCATGGCAGACGACGAGTACGACGACTTGTACGGTGACTTGTACCCGGGAGAAGCCGAGTACGGCAGCGGAGTGTCCGCGTCGACCAGCGCTGCCGCCGCGCCAGCTGCCGCCCCCGCCCCTTCGACCTCGACCAACGCGTCCTCGGCTCCTGCAGCAGCATCGCCGGCGCCTGCAACATCTGCCATCCCCAGCTTCGCCGATGGACCGCGACCGTCGAGCTTGCCTGCCCCGCCCGTCGCTGCCACCGCCGCCGCGACGAACCCCCCTCTCCACTTCTCATCTGGCGCGCAGGGCATGCAGCAGCAACAGCGACCGATGGTGCAGACCGGCGTGCGACCGAACGACATGCCCGAGGAAGGGTAAGTAGCGATTCTGACAGGTCTCGGCGCGGTCCTCGGCTAGACTCATGGCGGCCGGTTCGGGGGAGGGTTTGCACGCGTTCGGAGGGGGCGTCGTCTGCTGTCTCTGGATCAACACGCCTTTGCGAGTCCGCTAGTCAAGACCAGTCGACCTAGACTCCTCTCCGCCATGTCCCGCCTTTCTCGCACCTCATCCCGCCGCATGTCCTTCGGCCTCCGCTGTTGTCGCTCCGTGGCGCACCTTGCCTTGTCCTCCGCGCCTAGCGTTCTCTAGACCGCCACCTGTTGCACCATCAGCCGAAGTACCGTACGTTCCTCTCGTAGAACGGTGTTAGCTGATGCAAGCGCCTTCGTACCCCTTCTCCCTCCTTGCACCGTCCGCATGACTTGCGTTCCTCCGCCGCTCGTCTCATTTCGTTCTGTCCGACTTTGCAGCAAGATGTTCATCGGCGGCCTCAACTGGGACACGACCGATGGTGCGCTGGAGCGCCCCGCTTCGAAGACGGACTACACTCGCTCACAACTCGCATCGCTCGCAGAGACGCTCAAGATGTACTTCGAGCAGTTCGGCCCGATCACGCACTGCACGATCATGCGCGACTCGGAGACCGGCCGTTCGCGAGGATTCGCCTTCTTGACCTTCGAGAACCCGTCGTCTGTCAACGCCGTCATGGCGCGCGAGCACCACCTCGACGGCAAGACGGTGCGTTCTCCTTTTCCGATTCCCTCCAGATCTGCACAGCTCGCTCACCCCGCCTACCTCGCAGATCGACCCGAAGCGCGCCATTCCTCGCTCCGAGACGGCCAAGACGGACAAGCTCTTCGTCCGAGCCCTGCCCGCAACCTGCACGCAAGAGTCGTTCCGCCAGTTCTGGCGCCAGTTCGGCCCGATCACGGACGCGACGCTCATGATGGACAAGGAGACGGGTCGTCATCGTGGCTTCGGATTCGTCAACTACGAGACTCGCGAGGCTGTGGAGAAGGTCTTGAACGCGGGTCCGCACTATATGGACGGTCAGATGGTGCGTAACGCACTCCATCTCGCTTCGCTCAGCAACGCTTGACACTCCGCGCATCTTCCGCAGCTCGAGGTCAAGCGCGCGCAAGCCAAGGGCGAGCCTCGTCGCAACGACTACGGCATGAACTCGAACCAGCAGTACACGCCTCAGCCCTACGGCGGTGCTGGCGGCGCATCAGGAGGAGGTATGGGTGGAGCCGGAATGGGCGGCGCCGGCAACATGGGCATGAACGCGATGGGCGGTGGTGCAGCGGGCGCAGGAGGAGCCGGCACGCCATTCGACCCGGCCGCCATGTCCAAATTCTTTGCGCAGATGGGCTGGGGAGGCTTCAACCCGATGATGCTCGGCGGAATGGGCGGCGGCATGGGTGGCGGAATGGGAGGGTTCAACCCGATGGCCATGGGAGGAATGGGCGGGTTCAACCCGATGGGAATGGGCTTCGGCATGCCTAACATGGGAATGGGCGGGATGGGCTCGCCAACGGGTGCAGACGGCGGAGCAGCGGCTGGCGGAGCTGTGGCTGGCGGAGATGGCGCAGCTGCGGCAGCCGGCGACGGAGCAGCTGGTCAGAGTAGCCCCTGGACCGCTCCTATGGCAGCGCCGATGTCGATGCGTGGCGGGAGGGGCGGCGCAATGGGCGGCGGAGCGATGAGGGGCGGACGAGGAGGCGGACGCGCTGGTGCAAACCCTCCTGTGCGTCGCAGTCTCTCCTTTCTCCACTCCATTGAACCTTCCGAACTGACTGTGACTGTCGCACAGACTGGACCGGCCTCGATGCGCGACGAAGGCGGCGCTGGCCCTCAGCGGAGTCGCGGATCTGGCGCAGGCTTCCACGTGCGTCCCCTTTCACTCCTTCTGTCCGACGTCAGTGTGACTGACATTTGTCGTCTGGCAGCCCTACTCGCGCTGAACAAGCCGCTTATCCCTCGTTCTCCTCTATTCTCCTCCACCGCCTGTACTCTCGGCCAACTCTACCTGTAGACTCGATTGCTCCAACGTGTTGCATTGCGCGCGAAGACAAGGCGACTTAGCACACAGAGGCGAGAGGAAGCAGTAGGTACAGCGTGCGAAAGGAGAGAGCAGCGTCGTGATCGTCGCGCATCGTGAAGAGCATGCGAAGGGTATCTAAGGGCTAGCAGGGGAGTCTACTGGTCGACGAAGGGATCGGGGTTGACCACCCTGAGAGGAGTGCCAGGCCTCAGCGACGACGGCAGATCGCCAGCCTTGCCTCCGTCAACCGACTTCCTGCCCATCGCCGGCGTGACTGGCCTGATCTCCTGGGCCGGGTCCCAGCTCGTCTGCGGTGCGGAGGCGGTCGACGAAAGGTACGGCAGTCCGGAGGCGTTGTCATGGCCGTCGTCCGAGGTAATTGCGACGCCGATGAGCTCGGCGGGAGTGCCGGGGACGGGGAGAGATGGGAGGTTCTGCGAAGGGCGGCGGAGTGAGCACTTGGCGGAAAGCGTGGGCGCGGGAGAAGTGTAGACGTCGTTGTCGTTCGAAGCGGGTCCGCCAGTGATACTCGAGAGGAAGGGGATGCTCTGGACCGAGGCTTTGAGCGGCGAGCTCTTCGACGGTGTAGAGGATGCGCCGACGACTCCGTTTGTCGACGATACGCCGGAAGCCTGCGAAGACGACCGCTCGAGCTGTCCGACCTCGTTGACGCGGTAAGTATCCGCGAACGGATCCGCTGCAACGCCCATCCCGCGGGCTCCGAGTCCCGCCAGATTCTCCCCAGCATCTTCAGGAATCGCTTCGATAGGCGACTGAGGCGGGATCGAGTCGGCGCGAGGCGAGAGAGCCGAGACAGTGCTGCCGAGGCTCATGTTTCGCTTTTGCGAAGGACGAGTGTACATGAGCTGGCTGACGAAGGGAGCGCCGCCGTCTGCACCTGCTCCGCCCGACGAGTAGCCCATCATTGGCGTCGAAGGAGCCGTGAGCTGCGATGCGGCGCGGCGGCGGAGGATGAAGAAGGCGAGACCGGCGAGCGCGACGGCGCCGCCAATCGCACCGATTGACGCGCCGATAATGGTCGAGGACGAGGAAGACGAGCTGTCCGACGAAGAAGTCGAGGATTTCGTCGCGGCGGCGGCTGAGGGCGACTTGGCGACGGTGGCCGAGGAAGAGAAGGAGGACTTGGCGGCGGGAGGCGTGTAAGCAGGTGCGACCGCTGCAGCCGAAGTAGCGGCCTCGCCGCTTCCTCCTCCGTAGTTGCCGCTGTCGCCGCCAGTCCACGCCGGAGACGACGTCTGAGCGGGAGCAGGCGCCTCCGTCGACGCCTTCGGGTTGTAGATGTACTCGACCGGCTTCCTCCGCGCCAGCTTGCTCGTCGACGACGCCGTGGCGGTCGAGAGAGCCGCTTGGTTGCCGTCGAAGGTGTCCTTCCAGGTGTATGTCCCGCTCGCTTCGTCGACGGTGAGGAACCAGAAGGCGTTGCTAGGCGCAGCGGAGGAAGCGTCGATGCCGAATGCGACGACAATCGTCCCACCTTCGACGAGGTTGGCAGTGTGCCAAGCGAGAGAGGGCGAGGCCATCGAGTGGTCGGACGTAACGACTTGCGTCCAGGTCCAGGTGCCGGCGGAGGACGGTTTGAGGATGAAGACGTCGGAAAGGGGAGAGTGGGTCATCGAGACACCGCCATGGACGAGGATCGAGCCGGAAGCGAGAGCGACGGCGACATGGCCCATGCGAGGGGACGGTCCGGTGCCAGAGACAGCCTGCAAAGCGGGGAGGATTAGCGGTCAGCCTCTCGGCTTCGAAAGCGTAGCTAACGCACCTGCTGTGTCCACGAGCGAGAGGCGGTGTCGAAGACGAGCACATGCGTCATGTCGGTGAGCGTTCCCTCCGACGTCTGTCCTCCAACAACGACGAAGCTCTCGCCGCCAGCAAGAAGCGTCGCCGTATAGTCACTGACAGGCGGTTCCCATGAGCTCGCTGCGGCCATCCCGACGGGCGCCGTCCACGACATCGATTCGACGACTCCGTTGACCGTGTCGAACCTGTCGAGCCCGACGTAGCCGATCGTCTCGCCTGAACAGGTGTACTGCTCTGCGATTCCTCCGAGGACCCAGACGTCCGTTCCGCCAGTCGTCGAGTTGCTGACGGAAACAGCCTTGGCCTGACGACGCCTGGGCGGGACTCGCGGCGAGAGCGAGGGAGTCGACCACGGCGAGGACGAGCCTTTGAGAGTATGAACAAGTCCGTCGGTCTCGCAGTTCGCCGTCATTCCACCAATAAGCCATGTCTCCTGCCCGCTCGTCCCGCTCGTGAGCGCCGCTGCAGCCCACGCCGTTGCCGGCAAGCCCGTCGAAAGAGAGTCATCCTTCGAGGGATTGTCGGGGATGGCGGAGACGGGCCGGTCGCCCCAGAGGAAGGTCGAGCCAACGTAGAACCTGAGGACCTCGTTTGTGATCTGCGTGCCGTTCTCGCGGACTTGGCCGCCGATGAGGAGGAGTTGGTTCGTCGGCGGAGGGAGGTAGATGGATGCGTGGCCATAGCGTCCTTCGGTGGTGGCGGAGACGACTGTCGGCTGCGCGACGGACGTGTTTGAGTAGACGACGCCCACTGCATCTGCTCCGGCCGCCTGTCGAGGGAGGACGAGGGCGCGAGTCCGGAGGGCGTCGAGCGAGGCGGAGAAGAACGAAGCAGCGGCGGTGGAGGGCGCGAGTGCCGCGAGTGCGAGCGAAAGAGCTGTTGTGCAGCGCATGCGCGTGCGTTTCTGAGCCCGCATAGTGTGCGTGAGCGGAGAGAGTGAAGCGGAGGAGGCGAAGTTGAATGACAACTGACCTTCTCAAGCGAGCACCGTTGTCCAGCAACTTCCAGGGCTTCAGAAGGCTACTGCGCTTGCTGGTAGAGCTCTAGAGGGCCTTGCAGAGTCCTTCGAAGTCGCCTGTCCCGTCGAAGCCGCTCTCCGAGGTACTGAGCGGATGAGACCCTTCACAGGCTTGCTGCCTCCGCGAGATAGCCTTGAGTATTAGTGACTTCTGGAGGTGCATCTGACTGAAGGAGCAACGCACGTCGAAACTGGCGAAAATGGGTCGGAAGTCCGCGGTTCTCCTGCTCGCCTCGAGAGCTCATCAGCTTGAGGTCGTTCCCTTCGGCTCACCCACCCGCTGGCCATGGCAGGGCTCAACGCGGAGCAGCAGACTGCCTTTCAGACGCTGCTCGAGTTCGGCTGCGCGGAGACGGACGCACGGAAAGCGGTCCTGGTGCGCCATGGTCATCCCGCCTGAACAATCCTCGCGCAAGCTAACACGCTTGTGCGGCTGCTGCAGCGCTTCGGTGGGAATGTCACGGCTGCTGCGAACTGGATCTACGATGGCGCGGTCGAAGGACCGGCTGCGACGGACGACGACGCTCCCCCTCCCCTCATCTCGACCGACGAGGAGCTCCCGCACCCCTCGACACTCGGTCAGCCACCACCATATCCTGGACCGGAGCTACCTCCTTTCGGACGTGCGTTGCGAGACGCTCAACCTTGTCGGCGATTTGGGCGCCAAGCTGACTGCCTCTTCCTTCTTTGCCGCACATCCAGCAGCTGCACCCGCTGTCGAACAGAAGAACCTGATCGACTTGACGAACGACGATGAACCTCCTCCCACCTTTGCCCTGCCTCGCCTCCTTCCCGCTCCTCACCCTTCGCCGACTCTCGGTCCTTCGAACCCTCCTACCAGCGGCGAGGCCGACCTAGGCAAGGCGATCAAGGCGTCGCAAACGGCCGCAGACGATCAGGATGCCGAACTCAGCAAGGCGATCAGTTTGAGCATGGCGTCGTTGGGAAGTACAGACGAGCAGGCTGTCAGCGAGGTCGAGAAGATCAAGCCTGAGGACCGGATTCGCGATGGGAACAGGTGCGACACCTCCTTCGAACGCCGCCATCTTGTCCGCTCCAACAGTGCTTTGCTTGCGCTCGCAGTCCACCCGTACTTCGAGCGACCTCAGCCTTCATGTCCGGCCTCGCCGCATTCCTCCAAGCCCTCTACGCCGTTCCCTCGTTTCGCAACGCCATCCTCTCCTACCGCCTGCCCGAGAATCGACAGCACGAAGGCCTCGCAGTGGCGGACTTTAAGGACTACTGGAAGGGGGACGCCGGGATCTCGAGTTTGGGGATGCCGATTCCTGTTGATGGAGAGCAGGAGAATCGCTTCACGCGTAAGTGTCTTCAGCACCTACCCCGAATGTCTAAACATTGGCTGATCTCCGGATTCCTTTCACGCAGGTCTCGTCGCCTTGCAACGACTCTTCGCGCTCATGACTGAGACGAAGCGCTCCTTCCTCCACATCACCGAAGTCGTGCGAGCTTTCGGCTTACGCGAAAGCGATTTCAAGCAACCGGGCGGAGCATGGGTGTACAAGGTCTTGGGTGCGCCTTGCGTTTGCTACCCTAGATGATTGGCGGATCTGACTTTGTCTCGATCGCAGAGGTGCATTCGACGATTGTCGACGACTTGCGGCTTGCGGCGGGCGAGGAGGCGCAGTACCGTCTGTCGCAGGGCGTATCACCAGAAGAGGCGGAGCAGTATGAGCAGCAGGCCACGAGGTGCGTCTGGCCCGCATTCTATAGCCCTCAGGTCCAGCTTGACGCGTCGCCCCATGCAGCCGCTTCATCTTCCGCGGCCGCGTCGTCACGGCGAACGAGCATCTCGGCGCGCCTTTGCCTCCGAACGACGACGATGTGCTCTCGAATCCTGTAGGAGCCGCCGCACTTCTCCTCTTATCCCCATTGAGGCTGATTTCCTTTTCGCCGACCAGCGCCTCTCGCTCCCCCTAAATCCTTCCGCCGACCCTCCCGAAGACCTCTTCCGACTCCTCGACAAACAGCTCATCACGTCGAACGGCAGCGACACCTTGCTCCACCTCCTCACCCAAGTCCCCACCGTTCTATTCTTCCACATCGACCGCATCACGAACGTCACCTCGCTCGACTCCTTCGGTTCCGGCAATAACGGCTTGCAAAAACGGGTCTTCCGCCCTACTCCGACTGGAAAGGAAGACGTATGGCTCGATCGGTACTGGGTCAAGAACCGCGTGCGGATACATGAGACGAGAAAGGAGATCGCGAAGCTGGATGCTGAGCTGGATGAGGTCAAGAAGCAGAGGAAGGCCGTTGTCGTTACGGAGGACGGGAAGGACTTCCAGGAGCTTGTTCGAACAACGGTGGAGTACTGCAGGAGTGCGAAGGCGGAAGCGGGGAATGTCGAGCGGGAGGAGCGGCAGAAGCGGATGCGGGAGGATTGGGAGAAGGTCGAGGAGGAACTGAAGCAAGCTGTCGATGGTGCGTCTGCTCGCTTCACAAAACTGTTTGACGCCGTCGAACTGATGCTGCGCATACGGTGGCAGCCTTCGACACGCAGATTGCCGACGTCAGCCTGCGGATCGCCTCAGCTTTCGAATCTCCCGACATGCACAAGATCGGCCCCTACCGTCTTACCTCGTTCGTCGTCCGCAACGGTCTAAATGGACGAGGAACAGCGTGGTCAGTTGTTTGTGACGACGAGGGAAAGTGGTGGCGGACGGGTGACCTCGACAAGGAGGAGGTTTCGCTTGAGGAGGCGCTGGGCGATCCGAGCGGCCTGATGATGGATGCCGGCTCGACGTTCTTCTTCTACTCGAAGGTCGAAGAAGCAGAGGCGGAAGTCGAGGTCCCTCCGCATCTCAAGGTCAGTTCTCGCGCGCTTTCGCTTGTCAGACTGTTCAGCTCACGATCCCGCCGCGCTCGCAGAATGCCGCTACTCGCGACAACATCGAGTTCGCCTCGACGTTGCCCGAGTCGCACGCCGACGTCGTCGCCTCTTGGAACCTCCCGCCTCTTTCGTCCCTCGAGCCCGAAGCGATCCAGATCCCGCTCGGCGAGACGGCAGACGACGACACCGATACCGTCAAGGACATCTCGCTCGACAGCCCGCCGCCTGACGATGTCATGATTGACGAGAAGGCTGCGAGCGAGGTCGACACGCCCATGTCGCTCGAGGAGTCACAGCAGGTCGGCGAGGTCCCGGCGATGCATTTGCGAGGCGGCGCAACGATCGAAGATGATGACGGTCAGGAGGACAGCGTCGAGCTCGACGAAGTGGACGAAGACGAAGAGAGCGATTACGACGATGAGATTGACGAGGACGAAGTCGAGCTGGGACTCCTGCAGCCGATGCCGGAGAAGAAGGAGGACTGGGACATCGACTATGCGGTCGGCAAGATCGGAGGAGTGCCGAGGTGGCTCGACCCGCGATCCCCTCTCACACCCGAAGATGTTGAGTGCGGGGCGTGCGGCAAGACGATGTCGATGCTCCTCCAGGTGCGTCAGCGTTGCGCAGCAGTCTCACCCCCCGATTGTACTGACGCAATCTCGCGAACAGGTCAATTCGCCGGATGACACCCGCCCTCACGCTGCCGCTCGCTCCCTCTATGTCTATGCTTGCCGCACGACCGGATGCCTCGCCAAGAACGCCTCTCAAGCGGTCCGTGTCTGGAGGACACAGATGGAGAGTCCCAACGCGTTCTTCCCGCACACGGAGGAGACGCTGAAGGAGCGTGCAAGACTTGGTGAACTCGCATAATCCTCTCGATCCCTTGAACGCTTCAGCTGACGTCTCTCTCACCTGCAGAGGATGCGCTCGACGCCGCGACTGCACTTGCGACCGCGCCCCCGTCTTCGGCAAAGCCTTGGCCAGAGTTCGACATCGCCGCCGAGCCCGAACCTTACGAGGAGTCCTATCTGCCTTGTACGCCCCTTCATCTCGGTCGATCTGTTTCTCACGCTCACAGCCTGCTCTCGACAGCGGAAAACGCACCTGCAGCCGAAGCAGAGGAGGGAACGGAGGATGCGGCGGCGACAGACACCAAGACCGGCGTCGACTCCGCCTTCCTGCACTTCCAGGAACGGATAGAGCGCGAGCCGAAGCAGGTCTTGCGGTACGTGCAAAAGTGCGCTGCTCACTCGCGAAAAAGCTCAACCGTTCCGCCTCGCAGCTTCTACCGTTTGCCCGGCATCGAAGACCCGCAGCCTCTGTGGGCGAGCGAAAACAAGATCCGACCAGAGCAGGTCCCGACCTGCGAGCTGTGCCGCGGCGAGCGCAAGGTCGAGTTCCAGGTTTGTCTACGCGCCGCGCCTTCTGCCGACGGGTCGAGCTGACCTTTCTCATCCGCAGATCTTGTCTACCCTCCTCACCTCCCTCGACGACGACTCATTCGACTTCGACTCGATCCTTGTCTACACTTGCGCGAACCACTGCCCGATCCCGCCTCGCGAAGGCGGCAAGACAGGATGGCAGGTCGAGTGCGCGTTCAAGCAAGACTTTGCGGCGGCGGGCGTCAAGTTTGGGCGGCGATGACAGGAGGGTCCTAGCATGGGCGGAAGGAGGCTCGGCTCCGTTGTAGCTTGTTGACCGCTGTACTCGTGCTTGTAACTCTGCGCATTCTCCGAAACTCTGCTGCTGCAACGCAATGCATGCGAGTCTAGTCTACAACAACAAGTCCGCCGCTCTCGACAACCTCGCCCCATATCGCATCGAGGACGTTCAGGAAGATCTGCGCCCGCTCGAGCGCAACCTGGCGAGAGAGGAGAGTCAGCGCCGCCTCAGCCGGGAATTCTACCGACGCTTCAACGCACCTGGTAATCGTAGTGCGTCCCGTCGTAGCTCACAGCTCCGTCCGTGACGTTGTACCACTGCAACATCGTCCAGCCGCCATCGATACTCCCCTCGGGACTGACCTCCTCGAGCGCCGCAAGCATCTCCCGATTGTACTTCTGCGTGACCTCTGGCCCTTGTATGCCGAGCCACTGCACTGGCTTGTTGGGCGGCACGGCTGGGTAGCCGGAGAAGAAGGGAATGGGTCGAGGGATCAGAGCGGAAGTGTTGCGGATGAAGGGGGAGATGTGGACAGCGAGCGTCGCGTTAAAGTCCCATTGGTAGTGGATGCCAGTCGCCTCGACGAAGATGGGAGAATAGCGTCGACGATCGGGAGGGAGTTGGTCGATGAAGCGATGCCAGCTGTCGAGAAGAGGGGTCGCATAGTCGGGCTCGTTCTCGCCGTCGCGTCGCTCGTGCGTGAAGCGCCAGCTGTCGGGGTCATCGTCATTAGTCAGGCGAGCAGAAAATGGCCATTCTGGACGGTGGGCGGACGCACACCAGGTCGTACATAACAAACGGTTGTTCCGGGCAAACGTGCGCGAAGTCGAGCGACGTGAGAATCGAGTGGTCCTTGCAGAAGGTGCCGTTCGTGAATATGCGGGTTCCTTGGCATCCGTCTTTGTGCGCGTAGACGAGATCAAGGCTGTTCGCGAGGAGCATGAAGAGGCCTTGTGCGAACTGCCGCATGACTGCAAGTATCGCTGTGTCAGCTGACCAAACAGAGACGCGTGAGGTGGAAGGCGCACGAGAGTCGCCGCGATTGTAGATCCCGCCAAAAGCCGAGACGAGGTCGCAAGTCTCGCGAGGAGAGAAGGTGTGAGGCGGCGGGCATCCATCGACTGCGTTGCGCTCGATGATCAGCAACACCATCTCGTCCACTATGGAAAGCCCGCGTACGGTCGAAGGAGAAGTCGAAGGTGTCGAGGTGGATGTCGTTCGGGTCCAAGCCTTCGGGATGAGCGTAGACCGTTCGAGAAGCTCCGTCCGGCCTAATACGAGACCTTGCGAGCGATGCGACCAGTTGCGTCGAGTTGCACCCTTTGCCGTGGTAAAAGGGGCCGAAATGGCGAGAACCTACACGGGTTGGAGGAGGATTTGGATGTCGAAGTCGGTAGAATTGTCGGAAAGGCTCGCGAGGAGCGTGGTAGATGGCGATCGCGGCGGTGATTGCGACGAGGAGAGCGGCAAGGAGGGCCATGCGAGTCGGGCGCGAGAGGGACGGGGACTGGGGGAAGTCGAGAGGGTGAGCGGCAACTCGGCGAAAGGGCAGGAACAAGCGCACTGGTGAAGTCGGAAGCAGGTCGTTTGTTTCAGACGGTGATGCGTCTTCGGGCTGCAGGGATACGCCGGTTAGCGGTACGCTCGACGAACTGAAGAATCAAGAGGTGGAGACTCACCAAGCCGTCCTCGTCCTCTTTCGCCGCTAGCGGGACATACTCGACGCCTCCCGCCCCCTTCTGCGCCCTGCCCTGCCATCGAGCCAGCGGCGCCGTCCACTTCGCCAGCGTTTCTTCGTCGTTCCCGCCTCGGGACCGCTGGCGGAGATGGGAGGTCATCTAGCGAGTCTGCAGCCCGCAGGCTCCGCCGAACCGTAGTAGAGAGAATCTTCGGCTTCTAGCAAGTCAAAGAAGCCAGCACGAGCGATGTTGCGAGCAGTGAGGAGGCGAAGAGCAGGTCGCGGCGGCGACGCGACTTTGCTGCGCCCCGCCTGTCCTTCCCTGGATTCATTTCTCTGCAGCGCAAGCCAGAGCATACGAGCGCGGATCCTGCAGCGGACAGCAGCATGGTCGAAGCGCCAGACGGAAGTGCGAATGCAAGGCCATGCAAGAATTGCCCCCTCCGATAATCTACCGCTTCACCCGCACGCCATGCTGAATCTTCGGTCCCCATCCGCGGAACTTCTTCTTGGGCTTCGGAGGAATGGCAACGACGGCCGGGTTGAATCCTTGCCTGCGCGAGACGCATGAGAGACGAAAGTCAGCATCCCCATGAGAAGGAGGATCCGCACGACCACGCTGCATACCTGTACTTCTCCAGCAGCCACAGGCAGTACTTGGACTGCTTGATAGTCATGCCCGCTTCCCGCAACTCCGCGCCCGACTTGGTGAACAGGTCCTCCCAGCTGCCAACCTTCTCCGCGAACTCCTCCAACCCGCGCTTCGAGACGGCGAGGAGGCTGACCGGGTCCTTGAAGTCGCCTGTGAGCCGTAAGACAATCTGTCAGCATCCCTGAGAGCTGCGAGGAGGGGTGCCTGCGAGGACAGCCAGCGCTCGACGAGGAGATCCACCAGAGACGTCCACAACTTCTGCCGACGTTCACCCAGCACAGAAAGACGTAGACGCACCCCTCGGTTCCGGCACGCGCCTTTCGTGCGGCACAGACGCCTGTGCGTGGAGCGCTCGCCGAGAGATCCAGGGGTTTGCGATGGAGGCGGCAGCGGGACGAGCGAGGGCGGCGCGCGGCGTGAGGGCTGCTCGCAGGCAGGTACAGGGTGCTTGGAGGCGGTTCATGGTGGTGGCAGCGGTCGCCAGAGGTGTGGTCACGAGAGGTGGTTTTGGTCAGGGGAAGGAGACGAAGATGTGAAGAGTCGGCTTCTGCAAGTCGCTCCGGGCAGTCGGCAGGCAGTGATAGCGGGCTGATAATGTAGTGATATTGACAGCTGGGCAACAGGAAATCCAGCACGAGACACCGAGACGACCACCGCTGTTCCTCCTCCTCGACCCACGCTTTCCGCTCATGCGGGCTTCCACTCCTTGTGATGCAGCCTCTTCTTCGGCTCGAGCTTGTGCTCGTGGCAGACGTCGTAGTTGTGCGTGCCGAACAGGTCCAGTTCCGCCTCTTCGAAGTCTGGGAGCGAGAACCGGACCGGCGTCAGCTTCCGTAGACTCCGACGTACAGCAAGGGAGAGCGACGCACAGGTGGCCAACAACTCAGTGCCCTCCATCTTGACATACTCGCTACTTGCGGAAAAGGCGGAAGCGACTGCGTCCATCTCGATGGAGAAAGCGACGACCTCCTTGAGCGCGTCGAACGTCCCGGCGAGTTCTTCCGCCTCCTTATTGTCGAGGAGAATGTTGCTGAGGTTGGCTGGAGGCGGTTGGCGTCTTGGAAGAGACGGACGATGTGGAGAGATGTGATGATGCAGCCTCCGCGCCCTGCGACCGTACGTGCGTTAGCTCAGACTGGGTTGGCGAGAGGCGAGGCAGACGCACAGATCTGGACGACCGTCTCCATCAAGACGTCAACTGCTGTCGACGCTCCGACTCGGTAGGGAGCTGCGAACGGTCGAAGGTGAGCGAGCCGGACTCCCCCAGCTTCTCCAACACTGAGTCCGCTACTTTCCCATGCAGCAACGACAATATGAAGATCCCCTCCTCTCCTTGTCGACGTTGTCCTTCTCGACGTCGTAGACCGAGACGCTGCAGCGAGCCTTGGGTGAAAAAGAGGCAGGCCATGGCTCCTTCCATCGCCCCGACACCAATGAACGAGGTAGGGCTAGTCGTGCGGTGGCATGGCAAGCGTGTGGGCGTGCGTCTTGAGCGGTACAGCGTATCGAAAGTAGGCAGAGTGGAGAGGCAGAGGTGAGAGGCGGACGGTCGTCACCAGGTCGCGTCGGCAGAGGCGCGAGGCAGTACGCGAGGTGGGAGCTATACGTAGCCTCAGTCCTTGTGTAGCAGCAGCATCAAGTGCGTGCGCTGCCTCGAGCGAGTCGTCTCCTCCGTCTCGATGAGCGAGTGAGCCTCAGTGGGACATAGTGAGCAGGGTCGAAGAGGGGCGATAAACCGGGTCGGGCGAGCGACACGGCGAGTCGAGCGGTGTAGCAGTCGAGGGTTTCGTCCCTGTGCTGCCAGCTAGGAGCACGCAGCTTCCAACAGTCGAGAGGGAGGGAGAGCAAGACGACGAGGTCTTGGCGGCGGTCGGGCGACTTGTTTGTTTTCGAGTGTTCCTTCTGCGTTGGGCAAGTTCCGCTCGAAGGAGAGCCACCTGCCCTTCCGAGCGATCCCCCGAAAAGCATTCATGCACCTGGCCTGCGCTCACCTTCATCCCCCTCGTCCTCGCTCCATCCCACGCTCGTTCACCAGACACACACACACACTCGCTATGCACGCACTCGCACTCGCTGCTGCCTCCTTCACCGCCTTCGCAGGTTCGTCATCTCCCCCGCGCTTCACGAACGCACACGCCGTCGCGCGTACACAAACCGCCTCCGCTTCTCGCTGCGAGGCGCGCACAGCCATGCGCTAGAACAGTTGGACTGACACTCGCCGTGTTCTGCAGGCTTCACCGCCGCCCGCCCGGGTAACGACGTCCTCGTCGCTCACGCCGTCCGCTCGCTCGCCAAGCGTGCCGGAACGTCGCCCACCTCGTCGTCATCCTACCTGAGCGAGATCTTTGGCATGGTCACGACCCAGTGCCAGTCCACCTGCGGCGCTAGCTTGCAGGACTTGACCGTTTGCGTTCGCATTCCTCGGACTCTCCGGCGGCATGAAGGCTCACTCTCGCCTCGTTCCGTCCCCAGAGCTGCTCGAACATGACGACCCAGGCAACCATTGCCGCCTGCGCCTGCTCGTCCGTCACCCTCGGCGACCTCCGCTCCTGCTCGTCCTGCATCTCGACGACCACGAAGTCCGACTCAAATGCCACCAATGTCGTCTCCTCCTACAACTCGTACGTCGACCTCTGCACGCAAGAAGGTCTCGCTACCGTCACCGGCACCGTCGAGGTCGGCGCCTCGACCAAGGCCATGTCGCGCGCCGCCAGCACTGTCTCCGTCACCTCGATCCCCTCGTCCCTCGTTACCTACAACCCGTCCTCGAAGCCCGCTTCTACCGCCACCGTCCCCTCGCTCGTCGCCACGGGATCTATCGCCTCGTCTGCTCGCGTCGCGGCAGCCAGCGGCAGCATCTCGGGCTCGGCGGCGTCTGCGACTCCCAGCAAGACTTCTGGCGCCGGACGGACCGCCATGTCGGCTGCGGCAGGTCTCCTTGCCGTCGCTGCGGGCATGGTCGTCGTCGCCTGAGCGGCATGAACCCTACACATCGCCGGCGTGCGATTAACCCCCTCCTTCCGCCTTTCAGATTCTTTCGCCCGGTCCAGTATCCTTAGAAACAGGTTCGCCTAGACGCGCGAACCCTTTGTATCCTTCTCCCCTTTCTCCGGCTCCCTTTCTGTGCCATCTCTTTACAGCGTTCCGGCTGGTGCCGAGTCGCTCCTCCCCCTTCCGTCCCCTCTCCCCGCCGCCCGCCTATTCCCCGTATCCTCCTGACCTATAGTCCGCCTTGCTGACGTCCTGTGGAGGTCGACGGGCGGGCGGAACGGAGACCTGCCACGCCCTCCTTGTTACAATACCCCTACCTACCTATCGTTCTATGTTCCCCTTCTCTATTAGCGCTCTCTCTGGCTGCAACCCGCAGGATCCGGCCTTCGCTTCTAAAGAGGCATTCGCAGCGCCTGGAGAGGGAGAAAGCAGCGGAAGTCGCTCGTCGACCATCTCTCAACTTCGCAAGTTGACATCTCCCTCCGACTATTCACATCATCCCGCTCCCAGCCTACCAGACAGCTCGCAGACCATCAGAAACAGCTCAGACGCGCCCTGCACTTGCACCCATGTCCGGCCTCTCGCCCACGAAGCGCGTAACATCCTCATCAGTCCGCCCTCTTCCAGCGACCGCTCCCCGCCCCCAGCCCACCGCGCCACGCATGTTTACGAGCGCAAACACATCCCCTCGTTCAGTTGGACGGACACCCCGCGCGTCCCTCGCAGCAGTCTCCGCCCCTCATTCCGTTCAGCACAACAACAACAACCCCTCCGAGCGTCTGTCAACACTCGCAACTCCCGCCGCCCAGCTTGCGCATTCGTCCCGCCGCGCACCGTTGACGCCTGCTACGACCTCGGCCGTGACGCGGAATGCGCAGCTCGTCAGGACTCCGGCGACTATTCGGGCGCAGGCGAGGTTGGCGAGAGGAGGAGCGTCGGGGTGGAGGGCGAGTCTGACGCATGGTGGAGCGGACGAGGCGAGGAGGCAGTTGGAGGCGAGGAGAGGGTTGGTGCAGGAGTCGGCGGTTGATGCGCTCGAGAGGTTGTTGATGGTTGGGAGGGACGGAGTGGGTGAGGATAACGGCGACTGGACGATGGGCGAGGATGATGAGCGGCTGTATGAAGCCTTCGAAGGTGCGTCTGGTACCGTCCAGGACCTTTGAATGCCGGGGAAATGCTAACACTCGTTCCTTGCAGCCATGAAGAAGGCGCATCTCTCGTCAAGCGTCTTCCTCGACACCTCGGCCCTCGCCAGCGCATTCCCCAACGAAGTCGTCGACAGCACTTCGCCGCTCAACTCGCTCGCTCGGCTATCGAACTTCACGACCTTCCTCCACCTCGTTCTCTCGTCGCGACCGGACCCTGCGACGGGAGTCGCTAACCGTGCGGGAACTACTAGTCTCAAGCAGGCGACGGAGGCGCTGCTGCGGCATGTCAAGCCGTTGGAGGAACCGGTGGACGACAAGGCGTTGGAGCTGCTGATCGACCTCAAGACGCAGGTTCGTTTGGCTTCTTTCAGGCTGTGCTTGGTCGTAAGTTGAGCCAATATCGCGACTCTGCAGACCTTCATTGCCACAGCGTCGCTCTCGCGCACCCCGATCGACCCGAAACCGTTCTTCTCATCGCCGCTCGCTTCACACCTCCCGCCCTCCAGCTCCATCGCCATGACCGACCGCGCCGCAACCATCAAATTTCAGGCGGCGCAATCGAAGCGTGTTCAGCTCATCCTCGACACCGGAAGCGATTGGGCGGCGCTCAGGACGTTGTATAGGTGGGAAGAGACTGCCCGCCATGCGCGAGACTGGGTTGAGGAGATGCTCGGGAGGAGTGGGCTTAGTGGTGTGGCGGAACGGAGTCTCGGCAGTGGTGGAGCGACGAGCGAAGGCGGACACGTCGAGGAGGACATGCTGTCTGCGGACGAGACCGGCGGAGCTGGGTTAGACGACGAGAATCGCGGCGGACTGGCGAACAGTTCGGCTCAGGCTGAAGGCACTCCGGACGATGAGCGGGTGGACGAGACCGAGAGCGAGGAGCCGGAGCAGGCGTACGATACCGCTTCAGAGGATGAGGATGGCGAGGAGGACCAGCTCGCAAGCGCTTCCGCTTCGGCTGATGGAGATCAGCAGGTTCGTATCGGTCTCACTGCTGTACCCCGAAGGAGCTCACTCTTTCGCACCCGCAGGACGCCGCCGAACTCGAGCAGGACGACGAAGACTTCGATGAGCAAGACCAAGACCCGCTTTTCCTCGAGGCTTCGTCTCAAGACGAGAGTGCTCGAGTGGCGCAACAGCTCGGCGTCGGTGCTGTGCGAGATGTCGCGGAGTCTGTCGCTGCGGCCGTCAGGTGCGAGCGCTTTCCGCATTCACATCACCGTTCCTTTAACTGAGAAGACCACTCACAGTGCGCAACTCGCCGACCGCGCCGACTCGCTTGTCGACCTCATGACCCTGCCTGGTGCGACGGATCCGGATCTGCAAGGTCCGAAACAGACGATGGTCGAGGGAGAGACGGTTGCGACTTTCGTGTGAGTCCCGTCTTTCCTGCAACGCAGCCGCAGCGCTCATGCCGTTCTTCGCAGTACGGAGGTGTCTGATCGCGCGGACGAACTCGCCGCCATGCTCGACACGCAGACGAACGGCCAAGAGTGGGTTCTCGTCTCTCTTGACCGCCTGCTTCCGAGTTGCTGACAGACGCTTTCGACGCAGCCTCAGCGAATCGCTCATCGACGAATTCCTCGTGCTTGATCAGGAAGTCGGTCCTGCTGCCGCGACACCTCGGCCCGCTACGCCGGCATCGTCCATCCTCGCCGAGCAGCAACAAGCATCGCCGACTCCACGTCCGGCAAAGGAGCGCCCGCGGCTGCTCCAACCCGCCGCTGAGCCCAGTCGCCTGCGATTCGGTGCCGGCAACGTTCTCGTGAGGACGAACGAGCCTCGGGCGTGAGTTCGGACGGCATTCCCTCAATGTCGACTTCGCATGCTGATGTCTGGTTCACGCCAGGCAACGATCATTGCTTGAACGACAAGCGGACGCCGAGAAGATCGCCTTTGACTCTCAGTCGCAGTCCGCCTCACCTGCTCCGCCGCCGCCCAAGAAGTCGAAGTCGAAGTCAGCTAGCTCGAAGGGCAAGGGGAAGGCAGTCCCATCTCCGTTGTCGCCAGAAGGCGCTCGCTCGGCTCAGCAGGATCTTGCCTCGCCCGAGCGAGACGTGCAGCAGTCGCCCTCGCTCGAACAGACGGACGACCTTTCGACACAGCAGCAATCTGTCGCGGGTCCCTCGGCCTTCTTCCCCGAGAACGACTTTTTCGAGAACGAGTTCGGCGGTGGAGGCAGCGAATTCGGCGGCGAGGACGCTGGGCTGGAGGGAGGCGAAGGAGGCCTTGACTTCGCCGGCGCATACAGCGTCGACGGTCGCGGCGAGCGGGACGCTTTCATCGGAGTTGACGATGCGACAGGCCGGCGGTCAGCTACCGATCGCGAAGTTTCGCCCCGAGCAGATCGCAGTCGGGCCAAGGGCAAACAGCGTGCAACGTACGACGCCGAGGAACCGTCCGCCCAGGCTCGCGTTGCTATCTTCAAGGCGGCCGGTCGCGCTGCGCCGACTTCCAGGCGAGCCGCGCAAGCCGCACGGCGGGAAGACGGATCGTCCGACTCCGACTCTACCGATGAGGATGTCCGGGAACGGCGGCGAGCTCGTCATCAGCGGCTGCAAGCGCGACAAGACGACGGGCCCAGCGGTCACAAACGCCGACGCTCGGAGGAGGTCTTCTCCGATGACGACGCGCCAGCTGCTCGCAAGCAGAAGACGTCGGGTCGGCATCAACGCTTGTCGTCCTCGCCTCAGCCACCGCCTAAGCCGAGTCAGTCTGGCAATATGTACGCCTTTGGGCGAAACGAGCCGGGAGGCAGGATCCCGTGGACGACCAAGGAGGAGCGGTTGCTGGAGAAGTTGCTTCAGTCGTACGGTTCGCACTGGGCGACGATGATGGAGCTGCATGGACCGAATGGCACGTCGACGCGCACGTTCCGACACAGGAACAACGTCGCTCTCAAGGACAAGGCGGTCAACATGAAGGTCAAGATTCTGCGGGCGGGCGGTACCCCTCCAGAGTGGATGAGCGTTGGCAAGTTCCTGTCTCGAGCTTGTCTGGCTGACGAACGGCGTGCTAACTCTCTGCGCTTGGACAGTCCACGTTCCGAAAAACAAGCTGCCGAAGACTCTGCCGCAGGGACCGCGTCCGAACGAGACGGACGACGAATCCTCCGAGTAGGCTGTCACGAGTAGTCTGCGTCTTGATCGACACTGTTGCAAAGCACGCGTCCGCTGAACTCGCATCTCTCGCACGGCTCGACAAGCGAGATCTGCGAAAAACGATGTTACAGGAATCGCGCGGCTAGAAAAGCAGGTCGTCGAGGTCGTTCTTCGGCGCAGGTGTGCCGCCGTTAGTCGTTGGTGGCGCCGGTGCAGATGCAAAGGGTGCGGGTGCGGGTGCGGCGGCGGGCGCGTCGAAGGAGAAGGAGGAAGATGCGGCGGCGGGCGCGGTGCCAGTCGAACCGCCAAAGAGACCGAGCAGGTCTGCAAGATGGCGCCAACGATCAGCTTCGAGTCGTCATCAGAAAATCGTGTGTGCGCACCGTCAAGCGGATTGGACGAGGCATTGTTGCCGGAAGGCGGCGCGAAGAGATCTGCGGAAGCGTCGCCCGCGGGCTCGTCGTCGTCAAAGTCGAGGAGCTGCGGACAGTCTGTCTGTCAGAGGCGCAGCCAGCTCGCTCGTAGACTCGACGCACGTTCTCAGCCTTCTGGCCCGCCGCAACCGTCGCCAGGGCGGTCTGGATGTGGTTGCCCTGCGGTCGCTCGCTCGTCGAGATCTGGTCGGCACCAAGTTTGCCGCCGGCGACGAAGGCCTGCACGGGCCTGCGGTCGAGCACGAGGTGAGCCTCCGACTACAGAGTAGTTGCGCAGGAGTGACGCACTTATGGTAGGCGGCGCTCAGCGCGCCCAGCTCGCTGATGAGCTCGTCGAGGAGTGCGGGAGGTACGGACGTCGTAGGCAAGCTGATAGGTGGTCGAGAGGCGAGTATGACGGCCTTGGCGACCTCGGTGTCGCTGCTGAGCAACCGCCACTGAATGTAGGCGCGGTCGCGGAGGTCGGCAGAGTCGGCAGTCTTCGTCGCGAGGGCAAGGACGCGCTGTACAAGCGCCTGCGCCTGTTCAGGTCGGTGGAGGAAGAGCTTGACGACGGCCGTGAGCGTCTGGAGCTGGACCTGGACCGGTTCGTCGGCGTAGGTGTCGAGGAACGAGCCAATGAGCTCGTCGGCGTTCTCGATCTTGTCCGCGTACTCGCCGAGGATCCAGATGAGGGACGCCTTCGCCTCCGGCTCATCGAGCTCGTCGAGCGAAGCGCACAAGGTCGGAATGATCCCCTCGTACCGTTGAGGATAGCGTCGGAAGATGTCCTTGATGACGACGATCGATTCCTGCACGACGTAACTGATCCGGGTCGAGATCAGGTCGAGCAGGACGTTGACGCAACGCTCCGCCGCTCCCTCGATCTTGACGGCGCACTGCCCGATGGCCCGAACCGCCTTGCGCACGAAGTCGACGTCGACCTCGGAAGCGTACCTATCCGACGTGTACAAGGTCGTCAGTTCGTTCACTTGCAGGGGACGCGGACGGAAGCGATGGCGACGCACTCCTTGAGTTCGCTGAGGAAAGTGTCGACGTTCTTCTCCGTCACGAGCTTGATCATGATCTCGAGCTTCTCGACCTTGACGTAGGGGGGGTCGTTGTACTTGCAGAAGAATACGCGCATCTCGTTCGAGAGCACGTCCGGTCGCTTCTGCAGGATCAGGTTGATGTTGCGCAGCGCGACCCACTGCACTTCCGGCGCCGACGAGACGAGCGTGACTGAGGGGTCGGCGCGATCAGCCGCTAGCATGGGAGCAGGTGAAGGCCGCCTGACGCACCGAGAGGAGGAGCCATCTTCCGCAAAATGTTCTTGACGAACTCTTCCCGGTGGACGTTCTCCATGTGGATCATGATGACCTGCTCGGAAGCGGATGTCAGCCCGCGTCGCGTTTCCAGTGAACGGTGCAGACTCGCCTTGATCGCCGCCAGCACGACACTGCCGTTCGCGTGCTGGAACTGCGGGATGACCCTCTCGCAGATGTGCTCCGCCTCCTTCTCGTCCTCGGCCTGATACCGCGCAACCGCCCCCATGATGGCTATCCGACCCCACTCCGTGCATTCGCCGAGCGCAATGAGCAGACGCGAGAGCGTCTGAGAGTCGAGCACAAAGATGGGCTCATCCTCCGCGGCTTCCTGAATCTCGGTGAGCGCGACGACAGCATTCGCCACGACCTTCACATCAGAATCGTCAGCTTGAGTCGCTTTCGAGGTTGTGTGGTGGACGTACCATCGGATTGCTGTCCGTGACCATCTCCTGCAACATCGAGACGAAGCCGTTCTCGACCGCGAGACTCGGCTTCATGTCGTAGAGCTTCATGACGCCGAGCGCCGCCGTCTTCCGCACGTAGGGGTTCTCGTCGCGCAGGCACTTCCGCAGAGGGTCGGCGATGTAGTCGAGGATCTTCTCCGAGCGCAACATGCCCATGGTACGGATCGAGAGGGCGCGGATGAGGGGATTTGGGTCTTCCGTGTCCTGTACAGTACTTTCATCAGCTGTTGTGCATCTGCGACGCTTGGGTGGCCGGGAGCATACCTTGACGAAGGTGTTGACGGCGAGAATGACGAGATCGGGTTGCTGTGGGAAGTATACGGCGTCGCTTGTCAGCTGAACATTCCGAGCGGGCTCGACAAAATTCCTCACAGTCTTCGCAAAGTTCATAAGGTAGCTGTAGGCCAAGAAGCGGGACGTCAGTCCGCTAGACTGGAGGACAGCGAGGAGGAATGGGCGACGTACAGATACACGAGCTTCTTCTGCTCAAGGTCGTCGGTCTGCATGTTCTTCAGGACGTCGGGGAAGAGTCCTGCGCGACAATAGGATCCTCAGCGCTCTGTAAAGCCCGCAAAACGACGTGTGGGGTGGGTGCGCGCACCTGAGACGTCCTTGCCCACAGTCATCGAAGCGATGACGCGCTTCGTTGCTTCGCGTCGTGTGTCTCGGTATTGACTGTTCAGATCGGCCCTCAATTCCCTGCCGGTCGTCGTAGAGGCGAGAACGGTCAGCGGGGAGTTGGTCGACGCAGCGAGGGCCGGCGCGCTCGAGGACGGTTGAGCTTGAGGAGGGGACGTACGCGTTCTCGCCACGCGCTCGCGGGCCCATCCTAGCTCGCGAAGCCATGCTGCCGTGTGTGGAAGAAAGAGCGAGAGGTGGAGCCGGTGTTGGAGGTGCGGGCGGGACTTGCGACAACGGCTCGCTCGCTCACGCACGTCTTGACTCGCGGACAGCTGAAACAGTGCGTGGCAGACTCTGCACCGCTGCTGTACGGTTCCCGCTGACACTGCGTTGCTTGAACAGTGCCGCGAGCCACATCCGAGCGCTTCAACCGCCAGCACCAGACGGCGCCATCCGCTGCATCCAAGCAGGACCGCCAGGCGGGTGGCAAGGGTGCTCTCAATCCCATTTTCAAGTGCGTGGCATTGGTATCGCGCCTCGACAGTGCCGCACTCGAGCTGACGGTCCCGTCTGCACCGCCTTTTCCTCGTCGCTCAGCACTGCTCAATTCGGCCAGCACATCCTCAAGAACCCGCTGTGCGTCTGATCAGAGCTCTGCAGCACTTCTGGAACGATCACGCTGACGGTCGGCCATCCTCAGCGTCGCGCAAGGGTTCGTCTCGCCTATGCTCGAATTCGACTCTCCTGAGCGCTGCGGCTGATGCCGGCTGTCCTGTCCCTGCAGCATCGTCGACAAAGCGAACTTGCGACCATCCGATGTCGTCCTCGAGGTCGGCCCCGGTACCGGCAACCTGACAGTGCGCATCCTCGAAAAGTGCAAGCAATGCACGGCGGTGGAGATGGATCCGCGCATGGCTGCGGAGCTTACGAAGCGTGTACAGGGAAAGTGAGTGCACACAAGTCGGGTAGTCGGGCGACTCTCGGCTGCTGACACAGCTCGTACTCGTCGACTAGGCCGGAGCAGCGGAAACTCAACATTATTGTCGGTGACTTTGTCAAGACGGACCTGCCGTACTTTGACGTCTGCATCTCCAACACGCCCTATCAGGTGCGTTCTCGCATTTGAGTTGTTGGTTGGGCGATTGGCAGGGCACGGGGAGCCTCGCATTGCTGGTCGTTGCAGGCGGTCTGGCGGCTTAAGCTAACCGCAGGCTCGCTCGCGCAGATCTCTTCGCCCATCGTCTTCAAGCTGCTCTCCCAGCAGCCCATCTTCCGCGTCGCCATCCTCATGTTCCAGCGCGAGTTTGCGATGCGTCTCGTCGCACGACCAGGCGACTCGCTCTGGAACCGTCTCTCAGTCAACGTCCAGCTGTACGCTAAGGTCGACCACATCATGAAAGTCGGCCGCAACAACTTCCGTCCTCCACCCCTTGTCGAGTCGTCCGTTGTCCGCATCGTCCCTCTCGACCCGCCTCCTCCTGTCGCTTTCGCCGAGTTCGACGGCTTGACGCGCATCGCGTTCTCTCGCAAGAACAAGGTCATTCGGGCGAACTTCCAGGCCAAGGGAGTAGAGCAGATGCTCGAGGCTAACTACAAGGCGCTGTGCGCGCAGCAGGAGAAGGTGCGCTGCCGTACTTTCCCTTGCTCTGGTGTACAAAGCTGACCTCCGGCGTCCCCAGATGATTCCCGACGACTTCGATGTCGGCAAGCTGCTCGAGCAGGTCTTGACGGAGAGCGGGTTTGCCGAGTCTCGGGCGTCGAAGATGGACGTCGACGACTTCCTCAAGTGCGCTCGCTTCCTTTCGCTCCGTCTGTGCCTCGCTTGCTGACTGTTGATGTCCGTCGCGCAGGTTGCTGACGTGCTTCCACAAGCATGGCATGCACTTTGCCTAGACATCTTCCGTTCTTCCTGGTGTTTCCGGGTCTGTGCCAGCTTCTGCTTGTCTGTTGTGCAAATATGCAATTCTCCAGCTTTTCCGTCGGGGCGGAAGCCTCCGTTGCGATAGACAGATGCGCCTGAGCCAGGCGGTGAGCTGAAAGGGGCGCGTCGTGACTGCGCAGACCGCTCGGGCTCCCTATATTGACGTCTCCTCGTTGCTCGAGGCGAGAGGGGCAGTCGAGCGGGCGTGCGTCTCCTCGGGAGGCAGGTTTTGGAGCGCATGAAGCTTCTCATAGCGCATAGCTGGATATAGATGCAGAACAAGGACGAGCACACACAACCAGCCCGTTTGGTCTAGGGGTATGATACCACATTCGGGCGTTCTCAGCCAGCCTGCTTAGCAGGTCAAGATCTTGTGGTGGCCGCCGGTTCAAATCCGGCAACGGGCCTTACCTTTTGCCTTCTGTAACAACAGCTTGGCTGTACCTTTTGCAGGTTCCACTGCTCACAATCACACCTGTGCAATTGACGCACACCCTTGGGGTTGCTGGTGCCCTTCCACACTCAATGGGTCAAGCACAGGCCACAGAGCCTTGCCTCTGCAAGAAAGGGAATGAGGCTCTCTTGCAAGAGTCAGTAGAACAGAGCTACATGTAGGAGTGGAGGTGTGTGCTACAACAGGCAAACCCTCCTGCGCTTGCTCTGGCAGTTGAGGGATACAGTACTGAGTGCAAGGCGCACCGTCCTCAGCGCAATGTGAGTACGTGCGACTGGCGGAGTTGGTGGCGGAGGGATGTAACGGGACCCATTGATACTGATTTGGGTCTAGTTCCAGAAGCAAGAGCGACAGTGGAGCAGAGCACTGAGGAGAGAAGAGGGAGAGAGTGAGGAGAGTGAGCTCTACGTCTCTATGAGCTAGATCAACCACCCAACAACAGTCTCATCATTTCCACTGCTGCAATCCTGCAATGACCGTGTCTGTTTGGCAGGCGGAGAGAGTCGAGCTGAACGATTCGAGCGAGAGAAGGTAAGGTCGAGGGTTGGGGTTGGGAGACTGAGCTTTGTAGTGTAGTGGTCCTTGCAATGGAGTGGCTTGGCGTTACACCGAGAGAGTTGAGGTGAAGAGCGGGTGTAGCATTGAGAAGCAAGATCCAAACAAGAGGAGTCCAGTCTACCATGCACATTACGACTCCTTTCCCACCTTTTCCTGGCTTGCCGGTCCCTATGATTGACCCAGCAAGCCAGTATAGGTGTGTATAATTGCCTGGAGAGGATATGTTTGTGCGAGGCGGCTGTATCCTCAAATGTCCGAGCAATCAATGTCAACATTGCCCTATAGGGCAACTGGGCAGCACAAGCAGCGCTGCTATCTGTACAGATGGTACTGCAGGGCACAGCACACATAATTGGAGGCTGACAGTGCCGCCCAGTACGCCAGCAGGCTTTGCCTTCAC